GTTTTTCCATTCATGATGCCCAAGCAATTTTAAGCATTATAGAAATATAAAGACATAAAATATTTATTCAACTGAAAATATCTCTCCGAAATATGGAGATCTTCTCCTTAATAAGGCTTTGGGACTAAACCAAGTTAGAGAAAAAAAATCACCCATCTATCAACCATAAATTGGGAATGCTCATTTTTTTTTCCAAAATGAACTGCAAATTGCAGTATCCAACTGTATCATGCCCACTAACAGCAAGAAGTTAATTTATATTTATAAAGGGAAGCTAGTCGCACAAATTTAACCAGCCAGCTTAACAAGGAATCAACCGTTCCTCCCATCTTTAGAAGTGTAACTTCAGAAATAGGTTCAAAGGCATATACTTTGCTGGCGTTTGAATGCCTTGATAAGAAATACTAATGTGTGGGCCAGCTGTAAGGCAAACAGCTGGGTCAGATTATTATAACTGGCCACCCATTTTCAAAGAGAACATACCTAAGTTGTTTTTAATGTCTTCATGGTTTTTTACATTTTTGCTTCGTAGTAACTGCCCTGCATGGTTATTACAGAACACATCAATTTAGACCAGTCTAAAATTTTGCAAGTAAAACTATTACAAAAAGTATCAGGAAAAAATCGACCAAAGTCACCTGGGAGGCAAAGAATTTATATGCAGGCTCCAAACAAGTAGAGTTCACCAACTCCAGTGGAGTAGTGCTGTGTGGGAGGCCGTGGGACCATGTCCACGCTGTCTGAGCGCTGGTTTCCTGCTTCCGTCACTTCTCAGATGGCACACATATTAAGTTTGGATGTCTCTCTGCCATACCCTTGTAGGCACAGACAATGTCTACTTTGCATGCCTAGTAATTATCCTAGGCACCTACTACAGTTGAATATACATTTGCTACTCTTTAAATAGTTGATAACTAAATAAATAATGAATATATGCACATATATAATACAGCTAGGTAAGTGTCAAGAGGCCGGGACAAAGAAGGTGTTTGCTGTTGTTTCTTAACTATTGCATGCACTGTAGGGGTACGGCTGGAAGTCAGGGGGCAGTTTTGTGGAGCTGGTTCTCTTCTTCCAGCGTTATATGAGTGCTTGGGGAAATGCCTTCCCTTGGCATTTAAGCCCTAGAGCAGACTCTTTGAAAAGATGGCTTCCTAAGACTTTAAGAAGACCTCCTTTCATGCAGGCAGGTCTCCACTGAGGTCTTGGTGATCTACATGGGTTGGGTCCAGCTGGGGAGCATGTATGATTTACATCACCTGTTTCTAGAATCAGACTTTCTGAACAGGCCCCTCGGGTGAACAGGACACTGGTACCTTTAGCTTTTGGATGGCTTCTGCACATGGCTGTGCTGATGTCAGCACCTCAGACGAGGTGATAATGTAGAAGAATGCTCCATCTGAAATGAGGAACTTCCTGCGCATAGTTTAAATTTTGCTTAGTGCCTTCCAAATACTGTTTTTTATTGCTGGGAGAACAAAATTGGAACAAAATTGTAATAAAATGCCTATAAGGTAAAAAGGCTTTGATAAAGATTACAGGAGTTGGATTGATATTTTGTTTATGTTTTAACAAATAAAGCTTGTCTGAAGATCAGAGTACAGAGGTAAACCATTGGAGGTCGGGCAGTGGTGGCTCACACCTTTAATGCCAGGAGTTGGAAGACAGAGGCAGAGGGATCTCTGTGAGCTCAAGACCACCTTGGGCTACACAAGATTGAATCTGTCTAAAAGAAACAGAGCTCACACAAAGGTGATCCCAGCACTTGGGATCCCATGCCTTTAATCTCAGCACTGGGGAGGTGGAGACAGGAGTGATATAGCGGGGCAGAGAGAGGAATATAAGGAGGGAGGAGCTCCTTGCAGTCTGAGGTTTGGTGGAGACAGTTGCAGTCTGAGAATCGCTCCTGCACTCAGAGGACAAAGTCTGAGGAGAGAGTCTGAAGACAGGATGGCCCATTTGGTCTGAGCACTGGCAAAGGTAAAAGGTCTCTCTAATGGCTGGCCACACTGTTTCTCTGATCTCTCAGCTTTCACCCCCTAATATCAGACTCCAAGTTTTATTATTAAGGCCAACTAGAATTCATGCAACAAGGGTTATATAAATTCAGGATCTTTTCTGAACCTAAATAAAAATCTAAAAGTACTAAATACTTGGGATCAATCCAAGAGTAAATGAAAGCTTTTCTTGTCTCCAGACACAGCTGAGCTTGGGAAGACGCCCAATTATCCAAAACTGGTTGGACTACATCCCTCCAACAAGATACAAAGATCCATGTGAGCTCGTCCACCTTTGCAGAATAACCATCAGGACCCGACTGCTGGCCAACAATATGCTCCCAAATGGAATATTTTCACTTCTAATTCCTTCTCGTCTACAAAAGTTCCTGAATTTAGAAAGCTAACATGCATCTTTATGCTGTTCTTTAGGATGGGAGCACTGTACCATTTAGAAGTTAATAAACTATTAACTTCACGCACATTTGCTGCACTGGGGAATCTGTTAGATGTGTTTTCAGAGCTGGAGGGACTCCCCCATGGTTAAGAGCACTGCTCTCTCTTACTAAAGGTCTGCGATCAGTTCCCAGCACCCACATGGTGGCCAGTAACCATCTACAGATGATGCCTACATCTGACCTCTGTGGGCACCAGACATGCATGTGGTATACATATATTCATTCAGACAAAACACATATACAACATATGATAAACCTTTAAGAAAAGTTTTAAAGAAGATATATTTTTAAATGTCCTAAGCTCAGCACTGTAGTTACCATATAACTCTACCCATCACTTTCCATACAGTGAAATAAATTATATGCATAAGATTGAAAAGTCTATTTTGGTATAATAACATAAAATTAAAATTTCATCTATAAAAACTTAAAGGTCCTGAAAAAATTCAATGTATTCAAAGCACATTTTTAGCTTTAAAAAATACCTAGAACACTAGATTTTTCTGTGGTGTCCAGCTTGTTACACAAAGGCAGACTTAGAAACAATTCCTCAGGCGTCTCTGCTGTTTTCTATGTCCAGAGCAGAGGTGCTCTCCTTCTCTAGATTAGCTATTCAGGACGTCTGTACCGAGGGAGGCCTTAGACGTCACGATAGGGTCTCATCTGAACAGTGTGGGTATCCTTGCTGTGATGAATGCAAAGGCTACTTCTTCCTCCAGGGCCAAGGTTTAAGTTCATTATAAAAGGCAGAAAGTCCCCAAGGTCTCTGGTCCCTCCCAGGGACACTGATGTGCTGGCAGTGACAGGCTGGGAACTGAACACATCTTCACAGAACTCAACAAAACGTTTCCTGGTTGATAGATCAGTCACCGAATCTGTTTAAACCACAACAAAAGCTTGGTGTCTCTTAGGCCAATGTTCACTGGCCATTACCCCTCTCCTGCACACATTGTCTTCTCGTCCTTCAACCTGGAGCCGCCATTGACTCTCCTGAAGATCTAACTGTTGTCTCCTTGACCCTAGAGTCCACAGCTACCTCAGATCAGTTCATCCTACCACTCATGGCCTCTGTAAAATGATAGTGGAGTCATCTTCCAGCCTGCATCACCACTACCACACCCCAAACCTCCAACCATAAAAACACCTTCAACCTGCACGGTGCTCTTCAGGCAACAGTGACGCCAGGCAGTTACTCTTCCTTCGGTCACTCACATGTTCTCCACACACCAGGAACACCAGCCTGCCTCCTATCTCACACTACTTTGCTTTTCCATGTTCATCCTTCTACTTAAAATGCCCGTTCTAAACCCAGCATGTTCCCCCTTAATACTCCCTGTGACCAACAAAAGTTATGTGCTGTGCTATTACCTTCAATGTTACAGTACAATTATACTGTACCCTGAAGTTTTTAGTGTAAGATATTCTACCTTTTATTCTCCTAGCTTGTTACCTGCCTCACAGCAAATATTTACTGAGATTTGTGTTGTACCTTTCTATAATTTTTCTTTCTTTGCTTGAAGGAGTGAATTTAGAAATGTGCTTTTAGAGAAAGTAGACTTAAAGGAAACAAAAAACTAAGGAGAGATAGAAATAAAATATCACTGCTGGCTAAAGAATGCAACTACCCCCAAAACTTGCAAGAGACTCACCCTATACCTAAGACAGATGATATCGTTTCTAAATGTCAAATAGAAGACTACCGGAACCAGGAACTAGTAAGGGAAGTGGCACTTCATACAAGGTTGATGCAGCTCTGGTAGCAGACCAGAGATTGTATACAAAACCACGGTACACTTCATATATGACAGAACGTTCCATGTAATCTAGACATGAAAATAACCTGTATGTTATAAAACCCTCTAAAGAAGGCTTATAACTATGCTCAAGATTATTGAAAACAGGGGCTGGAGATGTGGCTCCGCAGTTAATAACACTGGCTGTTCTTTAAGCACTCAGGTTTGATTCCCAACACCGTCTGCCACTCCAGTTCCAGGATTCTGATGTCTTTTTCTGGCCTCCAGGGGTACTGCACACATGTGGAACACAGACACATGTTCAGGGAAAACAGCCATACCATTAAATTAAAAAATGAAAAATTTAAAAGATGACTTAAACCCAAGACGGCTCAGTAAATAAATGGCTAAACAAGTTACAATATGCCCCAATGGGCACTTGTCATCAGTAAAAGGCACAAGGATTCATTTCCTAATGAAAACAGCCATTCTCAAAAGGCTGTGTGCTATCCCATCTGTTGGATATTATGGAGGAAGCCGCATGGGGAAGTAGGTCTGTGTCTGGCCAGCTGCAGTTGAGACCACAGCAAGGCAGTGTCTGGGGACAAGGGGACTCTCTGCTCACCTGGCTGTGGTGGCCAGACTCGTCTGTAAGTATGCTGGAATGTGTAATGCTGGGTACCACAGTTACTGTAAATAACACACGCTCCCTTTCTTTTCCATCTAGACCTGGCAGTAGCCTTATGATGTAGCGTTTATCTATGGGACAAATTGCTAGGGTAGAAAAATGGGATGAAACACCATGACCAAAAACAACTTAAGGAAGGGTTTATTTTGGCGTACAGTTCCAGAGAGGCTACATGTCCACAATGGTACGGAAGGCACTGACAGATCACTTTCAACCCACACAAGCAGCAAAATGAGGCAGGGCAGGCTCTAACATGTAAGGTCCAGCCTGTGTCACACTTCTCTAGCAGCTCCACATCCCCAGCAGTGCCAACAACCAGGGACCAAGTGTGCAGTGCAGGAGCCTATGGGGGACATTTCCCATTCAAAATATCACAAGTGGCTTGCCAAGACATTGTGGGCAGTTACAGTGACAGGCTGGACTGTAGGGTACTTATCTATACCATAGAAGGAAGCCACAGAAAATAGCAAAGACAGAAACCTTCAAACCAAGAAGGAACTGTTTCCTGGTATTAGCTGTACATGTGATGTTGTAATGGTCTTCACTTCACTTGCTTTGTGGTATGTTTCTGCCACACGCAAAATAGCTTATGAAAATGTAATTTTAAGAAATAACAAAATTATTTTTATTTAAATATCTACATAAAAATAAAATGGATTGATTAGTTGGCTGAAAGTTTTGCAGCAAAAGCTTTAAATGACGAAAAATTCTTAGCTGTTTAGTGGGATTTAACCGAGGTTAAACAGCCTGGAGAATGTCTGCTATTTCACCTACCGCTGGACCACGTCCCCCTCACCGCCCATTCCTGTGCTGCCTCTCCTGTCCTCTCTCTGCTAACACCCATCCCTCTCCAGTGCTCCCTTACAAAGCCACCGCAAACCCAGATCATCTGGTTTTAGGAAAGTGTACATAAAATACATTGCAAATATTAATTAAAATGCAATTAATGGTAAAGTTCAAATATATTGATACTCTCTTTCAAAGACAGAGAAATAGGAAATATGCAAGTAATTAAACAAGATATTGTATATAACACATGCACAATAGTGGTAATTTACTTCAAAACATCTGCATATCATTTGAATTATGACTTCTTTAATATATCTGGCTATTAAAGTTTCAATACTGAACTAAGCTTAATGAAGTCAAAATATATAACCAATAAATACTGTAAAATATCCACATAGTAGAAACTATAGGAATGCTGGGAAGATGGCTCAGCTGTTCAGAGTGCTTCTTGCTAATCCAGAGGTACTGAGTTAGAATCCTAGCACCACACGGGAGTTCACAGGCACCTGCTAACTCGAGCTCAAGGGGATCCAATGCCCTCTTCCAGCCTCTGCAGAAGCCGCATACATGCGGCACACACTCATACAGACACAAGCACACACACACACAAACAAAGAAACCACAGCATAAGCAGTCTGTGAATAATTCTGCTGGCCAAACCCTTATGAAGATTGCAACTACTAAACCAACGGGTCAATGTGCACTCAAGTTCCAGGTACTTGGTTGTTTAAGAAAAAGAAGTCTACAGGGCAGATCTGTGAACTCTGACTGCAGGAGCAATCCCACTGAAGTGGGACTGTAAAGTGAGGTGGTGGTGAAGAAAAGAGCCCTTCCAGTGAAGAAATAAATGACTGGCTGGTTTGCTCTTTTACAAGATAACAATGACCTTTGAAAACTGACGTGCTGTGGAAGCCACATGCCTGTGCAGACACTGTTATACAGAAGGATCCCGGTTGAGTGTGTACATCTTTCTTGTTTCCTCGGTATGTGTTCCTACATCGCTTGCACTGTGCTAGATATTAAAAACAATGTCTGCACACATGCATATAAAGCACGGGGTGGATGTGGAGTTAGCGGACAGCCCGAGGGAGCAGACTTCACTTCACCATATGGGTTCCAGCAACTGAACTCAGGTTGTCTGGGTTGGCAGAAGTGCCTTTACCAATGAATCATCCTGCTGGCCTGAAATAAATAAAATTTATTTTCTTAAGAAAAAAAATGTTCCCTGGGAACACACAAAGGAGGCAGAGCAGTGCTGTCTCTCTGTTGCCTTTTGTAAAAAGAGTGGTCAAAATTAAAAGCAGAAAGAGCAGCAAGTCACTGAAGACATTTTTGTCTCTACTCTGAACTGTAACTTCTAAGTGTACACTTAATGTGGGAGGTCACAAATGAAAACTAGTGAATGAGTTTTCTGACAAAAACTTTCCTTTTACCCAGTGTTGGTGGCACATGCCTTTAATCCCAGCACTTGGGAGGCAGAAACATGGCCAGTTTGGTCTACAGAGTGAGTTCTAGGACAGCCAGGGCTAAACAGAGAAACCCTGTCTTGAAAAACAAACAAAAAAGTAAATAAAGTAAAAAAACCAAAAACCTTTTCTTCAAGACCTGTCACTTTTAAAGGTATTCTAATGAATATTATCCATCTAGGGTGCATAGGTAAAAATTCTGAAGTTAATATACTGTAATTTTCAATTAAAATAGCACACTGAGCAACTGCGACATAGGCACTGTGTAAGCGGTGAGCTGCTACTCCTCAGTCCCCTCAGGAAGGTCGTCCGCAGCCCTGGTCTGGTCCTCTTCATACTTCTTCTTGAGATTACTCAGGTATGTCCGCAGCCTATCTGGTTCCAGTTGAGAGTTTCGAGCAGTCTGGACAAGCCTCGTGGCAAGATGGTATACACCTCTCCACCTGTCCATTTCTGGGGAGCTCCTTTGATTTTGCTGTTATTGAAACATATGAAATTAAAACAAATGTGTATTTAATTCATGCTTTGGTATATCTTATCCCCTTTCATAGAAATAGGAACTCAAGCTCTCTCTCTCTCTCTCTCTCTCTCTCTCTCTCACACACACACACACACACACACACACACACACGCACACACACACACACGCACACACACACACTCCAGTGCTATCCTGGAGAATTAAATTCCACATGAACACTAACTACTTTCTGAAAGACTTATACCCTTGAAAATAATAAAGAAAATGTTGATAAATCAGTCATATTCATAAAATACCATAAAGTACAGAAAATCCTGCAGAGAGATGACTGCAAACACTTTGTTTTAAAGGTGTGGAGCAGCAACAGCACCGCTTATGGCTACACAGCAGCCATAATTTCAAATGTCACCAGGAAAAAGAGGAGTCATCAGAAAACCACTTGCCCACAGGATACAAAAACTGTTAGAGACTAACATAAAATATTGCCAGAGGAGTACAATATATTTTTTAAATGAACATAAATTGAAATATAAGATTATGACTAATTTTTAACAAATTATACTTAAGGGTATCCAAAAATAATTAAAACATATCATCTTACTATAGGACTAGAAGATGGACTTGAGAACGGAGCTAGAATTAAACTTATAATTTACATACTGACTAAGCTAGATAAAGATATCAACATTTTCACCAGGAGGTGGTGGCGCACGCCTTTAATCCCAGCACTCGGGAGGCAGAGGCAAGCGGATCTCTGTGAGTTTGAAGCCAGCCTGGTCTACAGAGCTAGTTCCGGGACAGGTGATCATAGTAGCTATGGGAAGCTCTGTAAGGGAGACACACAACACTCAGAAAAAGCAATCTCATTCCAGCTCAGATCAGGCAAAGCTTACAGAGGCGGAGAATGTGGAGCCAATCTTCACTGGTAAAAGTGCCAAGAATGGAGGCTTCTGGGTAGAGAAACAACTAAAGCAGACGTAGGAGAGACTGGGAACACAATCAGGGCAATTACAAGCGACACAGTTGCAAATTATGTGAAACTGGTTGGTGTGGGATAACGGTGGCATAAACAAACAGAAAGGAGAACCTAAAGCAAAACTGGGCAGAGGGGAAATTCCTGAGCCACCCAGGATCCCAAGTGACCTTAAAGCAGCATTTTGTGAGATAATTACGAAGACTTTAGAGACTCAACTTCCACGTGATAAGCAGTGACTGACAGCTTCTGGTTAGGCATGGTAATTATGCACGGGGGTACTGGCAGAAAGAGTATAGGAAGAGTCAGCACAAGGACTGGCAGGTGTCTTCATGAGACGGGCTTGTGAGGAAGGAGTCACACATGGCTATGGTGGGGACACTTGGTCTCCTTAACAGACGAGAGTTCAAGTTTTGATTTAAAAATAGATGAATATATTATGGAGGGTTAGCAAGATGCCTCAACAGGAAAAGGTGTTTGTCACCAAGCCTGATGGTAACTCAACCCACATCACAGAGAAACCACTTCTGTTACTGTCCTCTGAGTACACACACACACACTCACACACACACACACACTCAACCCACATCACAGAGAAACCACTTCTGTTACTGTCCTCTGAGTACACACACACACACTCACACACACACACACTCAACCCACATCACAGAGAAACCCACTTGTTAGCTGTCCTCTGACTACACACACACAAATTCAACCCACATCACAGAGAAACCACTACTGTTACCTGTCTTCTGACTACACACACACACACTCAAATACACACCGTTGCATATGCCCCCCCAATGTACCACACACAAATAAATAGATATAATAATTTTTAAAATCATTTAAAAAGATATTAGAGGAAGTATGGAGAAAATACACATAGACTCAGTGTCAGCAGAACTGCAAACAGAGCTGTGGGAGAGACCACTAACACTACAGATTATACAGAAAGGAGGTGGGCAAACACCTTCCAGACTGAGTGGGGAAGAAACACCTTAGAGAAGAAGAGTGCGGGAAGCTGAAAGGCCCGCAAGAGTCAAACCTTCCAGGAAAATAAGCAACAGCTGCCAGCACAGAGCAGAGCCGAGTGCAAGGACCATGGTGTGTGTGTGTGGGGGGGGGGGGTGCATGAGGACAGGTGACTTCTGATTGGTTGCAACTTAAAAGGAAGTTGAGTAAAGTGTTGACAAGTTTCAGGCGATTTCTGTGAAAATGCACTAAGCAAATTGGAAAAGAGGAAACTCAAGTAAAGAAAACATGGAGGCAAAAGAGAAGCAACTAAGAGAGTGGGTCTCAATGAGAAACAAAAGAGTAAAAATGTTACTGAAAAGTATTTGAAATGCTGTTTCTCTAGAAAGATGGTATATGGGGAATATGGAGGCACAACTAAGGGAGGTGCAAGGTGAGTGTAAGAACACTACAGGCTATACGGGAATTCCAACCACTCATGAAGATGACCGCAAGGTGGTTTTTTTTTTTTTTTTTTTTTTTTTTTTTTTTTTTCCTTTCAAGACAGGGTTTCTCCATGTAACTTTGGAGCCTGTCCTGGAACTAGCTCTTGTAGACCAGGCTGGCCTCGAACTCACAGAGATCCACCTGCGTCAGCCTCCTGAGTGCTGCCACCACTGCCTGGTGACTTTTAATGTACATCAGTAAATTATCTTCAGCAACTGAGCATCAAATGCTCAGAACAAATGGAAATGTCTTGACAAAGCTACCTAAGGAAGCCAGGTCAGTGAGCAGGAAGACATCCATTACACTGTAAGGCTAGAACATATGGTCTACAGCCAGCGCACAGCATGAGCCGGCCTTGACCACTTCTGAACAGAACTAGGAAAGCTAAAGCCCGAGAGACTAGCAGCCAGCTGGTTGATAACTGGAGTCTGGCAACAACGTGGAAAGTGAAGAGTTAGGCAGGGAGAGCTTCTTCAGAATAAGAGCAACGTCCACACAGCTGAGGGAGGGATTCAGATGATGACTAGGCAAGTGAAGCCACAGGCAGTCCAGGAAATAAAAAAAGAAAGACAAACTTGGTGCTTTATATGCCTGCAAATCCCAGCACTTGGGGGGCTGAGGCAGAAGGACCTAGAGCTGTAGGCTATCCTCAGCTACCTTGCTGTCCCCAAACCAAACCAACAAAAATGTAAAGAAAAAAATAATTAAAAAAGAATGAAATACAGACAACTATTCTTGCAGAATATATCCAACACTGAATTTTTTTGAAGCACTATGAAACAAAGAAAGGTTTCAAATTTTAAATCAACATATGTGATGTTGATCTACTGTTTCTTAGGAATCCACTTAACTTCTATTAACATGTAAACTGAAAGCAAAATAACCCTTCTATAACCTATCATTTAAAAATAGGAATATTTACTTCATAAAGAAAAATGAGGTTTTAATCCATGACAGCGGGCAGAAGAGCTTTGAAAGTAAAACCTTACATGTTGCAGGCTGCTTTTTAGATGCACATTTCAGATTGACTTTCTCAAAATACAGCAAGCAGCAATTACTTACAGGAACAGAATTTGTCTGTTACTAGTTGATCTGCTAGGAAAAGTTATAACAATCTAATCTTTAGAATAACTTAAAGCGAGGGAAACAATCAACTCTATCCTTTGGTGACTGTATTCTCTGCCTGTGATCCATCTTTCCTCTTCACCTAATGCTCCCCTTCCCTGTGCATGCTAAACTATGCTTAGCACACATTTGCTTACACGCATACATACGCATGGGATAGGCTGGAGTCAGTGTGTGAACACTGAGAGTGAGTATAGCATCATGATGTGGTCAGTACGGAGAGTCACGGGGTATGCACAGACCTTGGGTCTGGGGAGGGCTTACTAGAGTGGCTACAGCTATTGCATCCAAGTTCTTTATAATAAAGTGTGCCTTATAGTAAGGAAATGTAAAGACTTTAACCGTCTTGTCTGTCTGTCTATCTATCTATCTATCTATCTATCTATCTATCTATCTATCTATCTATCTACTTATGCTATGTACATAATGTACATATTTTACTTATTTATTTATTACCAAAATTTGCTTTGTAATTTGTGTTGTGATCTCTCTGGCATCCAAGACAATCGATGGTGGAAGTGAGGAGGCCTCTGCAGCTTTTAATCCTAAAATTACAGAAAACAGACTTTAGATCACTTTTGTCTAGTCTCAGCTGTGTGCTCTGCGATCTAGCAGACCAAAATTCCCCCATGACTGCCTTGCACAAATCCCAAATGCCAGCTACCCGCCCTAGTCCATGCAGAGGCCATTCCAGAGGCTTCCTATGTGTGTCAACACTTTACTATCTCTACGGTTTTACACGTTCACGGAGACATTACTGACTGCTAGGCTTACTGAAAGAGTGGCTAACATGCAACAGTTTACTGGATCGTGATGACTCCATACACTTGGTAAATCATCCCTTTCTCCTTCAATTTCATAGGGAATGGAACTGACAATAACAAGGATTACACATTTGATGCAAGGAAGCTGGCCAGTTCAGTTCCCACTTTAAATAGTAAAGCAGCCTTTTCTCTTTCTCACGAAGTCACATCCATAGGTGAAAATGAATTTTGGAGTTCAATGTATGGGTAAGTGGAGATTTCCAGAACCTGGAAATGTGCGTGCTACACAATGATTTACACAGAAAGTAGCTGACAGGGGGTTGAGAATATCATGGTTTGGTATATTCCACTTTAAGATTTTTAAATTTAATTATAAAATACCCTGAAACTGAAAACAAAATGACTGTGCCAATGAGTGTGTAGGAAATACAATATTTTTAATTATATAACTTATAAATATAAACTGTTATCCTGGGGCTGGAGAGATGGCTCAGTGGTGAAAAACACTGTCTGCTCTGCCAGAGGACTGAGGCTCAGTTCCCAGCCCCCATATGGTGGTTTACAACTGTCTTTAGCTCCAGTCCCAGAGGACCTAACACTCTCTTCTGGCCACCATGTAAACCAGCCACTCAGAAAGTACGTACACACACATGCAGGTAGAACACTCATATACATAAAATAAAATCTTTTTTAAAAACTGTTATACTTCCTAACAAGCTGATATGTCTAGGGCTTTCATACATAGCAGAATTCTATGGTTACTGGTTCAGTTCAGTTGATATAAACATAAACCAACGAGAATAAACTATATAATCTAAGTTTGACAAAGAAATTAGAGCCTTAGAAAGCACATAAACTCTGGGAAGGATGAGTGACAGCCAAATAGATGAAAGGGGCTTCCCTAAAGGACAGCACTGTTTTCACATCTGCATGGAAGTTCTATATGCAATACCATAGTTCTTTTCTTCTGTGAGTCCCCTGGAAAGTTTGTACGTATACAAAATTGCATCTTTATTTCTTGAGGTATTCTTTACATGCTGAACTTCAAAATGCATGTTTTCTACATTCAGATACAGGGCATCTATGTGACACAGCTCCAGGAAGTGGGTTGTGAAGAGTGTGAATGCCTAAAACATAAAGCAGACTGAATATCAGCACCTTAAAATTATCTAGAAAATCCTATTTTAACTACTTAAACATAACACATTAGCTTAACTTTCCAACTAGCTTCGCAACAACACAGGAATGAAACCACACTCTTGGAGACTGGGTTTTGAAGTTTACATCCAATGAAAATTAACTCTCTTTGTGCGTGCACAGCATGTCATGGGAAAGAGATGCAGGTGGCCAGAGATAAAGCTACTGAGGGAGGTGGCCACTTACTGGGAGGAAGCACAGCTCTCCTGCCCACTTACTCACAGAACTACCCTTCACATTTCACAAATGTCATACTGAGCCCCCTCCTATAAGGGGTATTGCAACATGGTATTAATCAGTTATGTTAGGTATCTAAACTTTCAAAGATTTAATTTTGTGTTTGTTTTTCTTGTTTTCTTTCTTGGTGCTAGGGATTAAATTCCCTAAATTTTTCAGTTTTACTAAGAAAGGAGAGATGAATGACTGGATTTTAAGTTACCATACATGAGAAACTAACAGAAGATTGGTTAAAATTTAAATATTAACTTGCCTGAAATCCAGGCACTAGAGAGGCTAAAGCAGGGGGACTGATGAGTTTGCGGACCAACTTGGGCTACACAGAGAATAACAGGCCATCTAGTAGGTAGGACTGTATAGCAAGATTCTGTCTCAAAAGAAGGCCAATTAAATATTTGGCTGGCAAAATTTCTCAACCAAAGATAATAGCAAAGAAAGGAAAGATTTGACGTATGAGTAAGCATGGAAAGTCTCCAAAATCCATGACCTGTGGTTTGGGTTCTGCTGGGGTGTGTCCTGCGCAGGGGAACTGCTGGCCCCTGAGCCTCCATGTGGCACCATAGGGATGTAGGGGACTTTTAAGAGGAGGGGCTTAGTGAGAGGTCCTGAGCACAGCTCTTGGGAGGAGTCAATCTGGGGGAGCAAGTCTCAAGGGAGGGGCACTGATAAAAAAGCAAGACTGGTGACTAATTGGCCTCTACACGGCTTAGAAGTCGACGGCTAATTGAAAATAATGTCCTTAAAAATTATGCATCAAGGATTGCAGGTGCTGCTCTGTGGCAGAGGACCTGGGGACCATGGTCCAGGCACAGGATTAGATCCTTATCAGCACACACACACACCCAACAACAAACAACACCACTGACAACAAAACTTTATAAACTCTTTTAGGTTATTCAACACAAAAATGACTTTTTATGGGCCTATAGATTGCAAGCATTGCGCTAGGCACCAAGCATTGGCTCTAGATTAGAAAACAAACCGCAAGCATCTTAAAAGTAACAAGCAACACAAGCGTCTAAGTTTCTACTAAAAAAGTATATTTTAAAGTGTTGTGGGAAAACCCTGTCTCGAAAAACAAACAAACAAAATAAATAAATAAAGTGTTGTGGAAGATGAGTATCATTTTTAAAGAAAATCTCAATCCTTAAGATTTTACCAATAAAGATTCAGAAGCCAGATGCTGGGGTGAAAGCCTGCTGGCTCAGAGAGGCAGAGAAAAGCACCCCTGACTTTCCTCCCCTGCCACTGTCTTAGAAGCCTCCCCTCTCTGCTGCCATCTCAAGTCTCCAAGTCAAAGTCCCTCCTTTCTACTTCCTGTGCCTCTCTATCCATCCTCCTGACTCCCTCTCATTCTCTATGGTTTTTCTTAGTAATCTAAAGTTCACTCCCTGTCAACTGGTTGCTGGCTCTGCCTCTTGACTTTACTTAATCCTGTTTACAATATTCAAGCTGAAAGTTCTTAGATTAAAAGTGTGTGTTAGGGTCGAGACACACCACAACTAGAAACAGGTTTTTCCAGTAAATAACAAAATCTCCGGGTTCACAGTACGATCAAATATCCTGCAACAGAGAACTACTCTTAGGTGTTGCAGAATATCACAGAAAGGGGTACTGTATCCATTAGGGGCCTTGAAAGAGTCAGACCCACAGGGCCCACGTATGTGTGCTCATGTGCTCATGTGCGCTCATGTGCGCTCATGTGTGCTCATGTGTTCATGTGTGCTCATGTGTGCTCATGTGTTCATGTGTGCTCATGTGCGCTCATGTGTGCTCATGTGCTCATGTGCGCTCATGTGTGCTCATGTGTGCTCACGTGTGCTCATGTGTGCTCATGTGCGCTCAGGTGTGCTCACGTGTGCTCATGTGTGCTCATGTGTGCTCATGTGCTCATGTGTGCTCACGTGTGCTCACGTGTGCTCATGCGCTCATTGTGCTCATGCACACATGCTCATTACAGAGACTTGGCTCATGGTCACAACGGCTAACAAGTTCTGTAACCAGCAGTTGGTAAGCTAAAGACTCGGGAGTTGTGATGTCACCAGGCTTCGATTCAGATATGACGTGTAGAGTGTGTTGTAGACTAACAGCAGCCAGATGAGTTCTTCAGTGCTGGGGAGAGTCAGCGTTTGAGATCTGCTCAGGCTCTCAGGACTGCACAGGGCCCGTGCCCATCAGTCTACAGTTCAGACGCTCACTTCTGGAAACACCCCACAGACATTCTCCAAATAATGTCCAGGCAATTGTCCAGCATTTGTGGTTAGTCAGACTGACTCATACAAATACCATCCCAAATGCTGATTTGCTTTTTGTCTTAAGTATACATGCATCTTGTTCACATATATAAAATACTGTGTATTAACATCACTTCTGACTTGTCACAGCTTTATTTAAACTAGAATAGCTCCACATTTTTTACAGTTTATAACTGGTAAGCTCTTATTTAAGATTAAAAAAAAAAAGTCCTTATGGACATTTTAAGGTATATTAATCATGAGAATGTGTTTGTTATATTTCTCATATCTGTGTATATTTTGAGTAATCATCTAAGAAATAATTTCCCAAATTAGCTTGATAATAGAGCAAAATTAATTTTTGTTGCTTTTTTTGCAAAATTAATTTTTACATTATTTGTGAAAACCTTTTTTCTCTAAAGGATGTTGTTTTCTTTCAGTAGGAAATGTATATTTCCTGTGTATTACCTAACATGTTCAGTTCCATATGCTGTTCTATGATGTCACAGACATTATTATATGTGGAAACAACTCTGAAAATATCTTCATATTTTGCTATTCAGTTTGATTAAATAAAAGTCAACTGACTTTTGCATTATTTGTAATTCTCAATTTTACTCCTTGTCTGTATCATGTATACACAACAGTAATTATTTCTACTTTCAATACAAATAAAACAAAAATGCAGTGTGCATTTTCTAGCCAAAATTGTTGATAAGGCTATCTGCGGGTGCTGACAAGATCCAATCATGTTCCAAGTATGACACTCGGTTTAGAATGAACAGGGAGGCAAACCTTTATGCTCAGCAGATGCTCACAGACTGCGTAAGAGACTCCAATGCCTTCTTCTGTATTAGTGCCTCTGCCAAGCTCATCAATTAATATGAGTGACTTGTCATTAGCATTATGCAGAATATACGCTATCTGGAAGACATAATTTTAATACTATTCATTGTAGCCAAGCTGATGCCAATCTTCTAAAAAAGAAGCGAAATTGGTCTCTTTATTAGTACATCTATTTGAAATGTATTTTAATAGAGAAATCCTGCTGAGCAGAAAATAACACACTGCTTTTCTTTCAGAAAATCTCATCACTGATAATTCCACCCAAATAACCCGTATGTAAAGGCAGACATCTACACATGAAAGAGACAACAAAACAATGGCATCCACAACACAGAGAAGCAAAGCAGTGAACTAAATGCTTAACTAAAACACAAAGTGGTCATTTTCTTCTCCACAAATGACCAAGCACTACCATAAAATGTTGAAAACCAATTCAAAACTTATTTACTCCAAAACTTACTTAGATTTGCTAAAAACAGAACAAGTACTAAGAAAAATACACTGATTAAAATAATTTAAATCCGTGACCAACAAACAATAAAACTTAAATTGATAGAAATCTCTCTGGAGAATATCATCCTCTTTCTAAAATACAGAATTCCACTTCGTCATATTATAGCATAGTAGCTGTTTGTGGAACAAGGGATCTAGTCAAGAGACACACTTCCTGGACAGTGGCACACGGCTATGATGACAGCACTTGGAAAGGCAGAGGCAAGTGGGTCTCCGTGAGTTTGTGACCAGTCTGGGATGGCAATATATAGTGAAACCCTTTCTCAAAAATAAATTAAAAATAAAATAAAACATATTACCTTCATTACATAGAATATTGCTAGAATCCACACATGCATCCTATACATGCTATGCAATGATATGTTTATTTACCCATTTTCTACAACACATGCAGATACCAAACGCAGATGTCCTCAGAACTCTGCTTACTTCCCTTAGGCTCAAACAGAGCTGGTGTTTGCTCATACCAGGAACAGAAGGGGACAGACTTTGATGGGAAATGAGTGTTCTCATTCTCCCTGTTTACAAAGCAAAGACAAGGAATCTAAGTCTTCTAACACAACGGTATTTAACAGTAAAACCCAGCCAAAGAAGAGCAGTCACTTCCATGTAAAGCAGGCACGGCCTTCTGAAAAGTCAGCTGTTCCACACAGAAACATGTAAGCCCACATTAGCCCTCTAGAGCTGTACTCTCTGACAAACACTGGCATGCTGGGAAGCTGTCTTTGACTGCCCTCTGGCTCTCGGGATCTAAAGTGCACCAGCTACTCTAGATGCCAGGATACTTAAAATGCTTTTAATACAGGGGGAATTTTGTTCAGCTACCTCTTTCATTTCTTTCATAAATGTTGATGAATTTGTTTCAATATCATCATCAGTGCTGATTCTCGTAAAGATCTGCTCAGCAATCCTAAAGGAGGCATATTCTGCTGGAACATACGAGCCTGCGAAATAAAAGGCAGAGTAACGGAAGTGTTTTAGGAAACCAGATGCTACCAACACTGTGCTTCAGCTCTGAGGTGGGACCGTGTGCTGGGCAGAGTGATGTAGGTGGAGTCACAGAGCACAAGCTGGCACTTAAACACCCCTTTCTCAGACGGGAAATGGACCTTTCGTACAAAGTTATTAGAAACCCAAATGGGATAGACAGTATTTGAGCTGATGCTCAGCTACATCAGAAAGAGATCATTTTAAGCTTCATAAATGATTAGGTCATAGAAATAACTGAAAAACAACATGCAAACGAGAAACTTTGAAGGCATGCATGTGAAGCTCATAAAAGAAATCTGAAGGAAATGTGTATGAGGGTCAAAGTGATTTAAAAAAACCACTGTAAGATACAAATAACGTGTCTGTGCAAACATGAAGAAATGTGTCAAAGCAGGAAAATAAAACATATAACCAAAAACATGAGTTATGTTACCAACCCTTTAACATAATGTGACATGAAAATCACCCTAACGTAAGATAAAATAAGCACATCAGGATGAAAAATGTATCTCACAGAGCCCTGTGCAGCTAACATGGTGTAATGGGGGGAAAGCAAGCAAGGTTAGTGCAGGGTCTAGGGCAGAAGAAGCCTGGAGAAGAGGCCTGGCTGAGGAGTGAGGACCACATGGGGAGGAAGCAAACACCAGGTGACTGGTCTTAGACTACACGTGCTAACCGCGCCAGCAGCCCGCTCTCTTCTCACGGGCCATTTCCCATCCTCACCTCTGACTGGCCAAGTGGCCCACAGAGAGGGGTGTGGGAGTCAGGGTCTCAGAGCTCTGAGGACGTAGCTCTCCCACACTACTGCATTTTTAAATTAGCTCAAAGGCAGAGAGTAGGAGCTGGAGAGAGATCAGAAGGTAGGAGCACACGTATGGAAACCTGAATGTGAATGCCCTGCACCCATGTGCAAAGCTGGGAAACCCAGTGCCTGTAACCCCAGCACTAGGGAGCAAAGACAGCCAAGTCAAAACAGTGAACTCTGGTTCAGTGAGAGGCCTTATTTCAAGACAAAGAAGCAAAGCATGATAGAGGATGACGTCCAACATCCCCCATCCTCTAGCTTTCCCATGTGGGCGTGTGGACCTGCACACATACATGCATGGAACACACACATCATCCATGGAGCACACACATGATAGAGGATGATGTCCAACATCCCCAATTCTCTAGCTTTCCCATGTGGGCATATGGAACACACACATACATGCATGGAACACACACATCATCCATAGAGCACACACACAGCAGGGATACAAAACTAGAGCAGGTTCTAATACTTTACAGCCATACAATAAATAGTGCTGAAAGTAAACAGTGAGGTGCTGGAGCTACAATTTGACCAGAAGTCACAAAACTAAATACAAACTACTCCTCCAAGATGTAGGAGTGACTTCTATGCCTCTCTCTTCTATAAAAGGTTCTAGCTTAGGGGAGGACCTGGAATCACACTGCCTGGGTGTGAAAGAGGGCACTGTCTCTCAGAGGCTAAGATCCTTGACAAAGAACTCCCAGAGCTTTAGTTCACTCACCTACAATGCTCGTTATACTTGGTGAGTGTTGTCGCATGAAGAAGACGTGCTTTAGGGTGATAAACACAGGGAAGAACAAAGTGCCCGGCACAGTGAACTCGGGATTAGCCACTGGAACAGGTACAGTGGCCTCCAGCCAAGACCTGATGATGGATGACTGCAGCCAGCATTTCTACTCCGACCGTCACTATTCAAACGATGAGCAAATATCCAAAGACCTACTCTGTGTCCGATTTCTGCTGCTTGAGTGCTGGCCACACCAGACAGAACAGGTGAGTGATCTGCCTGCCAAATGAATTGCCAACCCCTAGACTCTGTTCCCAGAGATCTGTTCCACTGACCATGGCCTCCAACTTCATCGAGGTCAGTCTGGTCAACAGAGGGAGTTCCAGAACAGGCACTAAAACTACAGAGAAACCCTGTCTCAGAAAAAAAAAATGGGGTACAGAGCTAAGCAGAATTCTCAACAAAGGAAACTCAAATGGCTGAGAAAGACTTGAAGAAATGACTCTGAGATTCCATCTTACACCTTAGGACAGTTGAACAGCTAGCATTAATAAGACTAGATCATTCTGTATCCTTCAAGTTAAGGGGACAATTTCTATGCCCAATGCTGTAATACATACAAGAGTCGAATCAGGGCTAGTTAATACAAATCATGCAAAGCCATGTTTGAATACAGCAGAGTGAATCCCACCCAGCTGCTTTCTCTTCCCACTCTCTCTTTTAATTCTTTAAGGCAAGTTCTCTTATAGCCCAGGTGGGCTTCAGGCTAAATCTGTAAGTGAGAATGCACATGCCCTCTGATCTCCCTGCCTCTCACCTCCCCAGTGCTGGGATATGGGTGTGAGCTACCATGCCTGGCTTCTGATGTCCGAGGTCAGTTCTCAGGGAAGCCAGTTATTAGAGATAGGAGCTATGTTAGGCCTGTACCTGAGGCACCCGTAACAATGCTTGGAGCAGTGGCAAATATGAGAGACAGACAGTCTCCCCCTCCCTCCTAATTGTTGTTGGTATCCTTCAAGTTAAGGGGAAAATCTCTATGTCCAGTGCTGTAATGTGTGGAAAAGTTCACTTGGTCACTAAAGACACCAGCTACTCAGGATTTAGTGTCTTCGTTCCTTTTCTACTGCCACGAAAAACTCCAAGATCAAGGAAGTTTATAGAAGAAAGCATTTACAGGGGCTTCCAGTTGCAGGGGTGAGTCTATGAGCACCATGGTAAGGGGCACGGCAATAGGCAGGCATGCTGCTGGAGTATGTCCAACCCTTACATTGCTGGGAAGCCCCAAAGATCACCCCCGAGTGACACTCCTCCTTCAAAGGCCACATTTCCTAATTCTTCCTAAACAGCACCACCAACTGGAGATCACACATTCGTGTGTGTGCGTGCACGCGTGCCTAGAGCTGGAGAGAAAGGCTAGGTTTATAACCATATATGAGCCAATGGGTTCATTCTTGCACAAACCACCACAACTGGTGACCATAAAGTAAAAGGGTAACTTACCAATCTGGGCCATGATCTGACAAAGAGCAATCTGTTTTAAATACGTGGACTTTCCGCTCATATTCGGTCCAGTTATGATCAGAACATTACTCCCTTCTGTAATATATGTATTGTTTGCGACAGGTTTCTCTGCAGATATTTTTTCAAGAATGGGATGCCATCCTTGTTTGATTGCTAAAGTGTCAGTAAACTCTGGTCGGACTGAAGAAAAAAATAAGGATTTTAAAAGCTGAGTATACTTATATTTACATATCTTGTGGCACATACATATCAGCTGACCTTAGTAATTTCATGAAGCCAATTTGAGACAATAAGTTACTATTTTATCCTAACATACTCTTAAATCTTTAATTGTAGTGGGTATACTCATTATTTCTACTAATGCCCAGAGAACTCTAGAATGTAGATTCTTTTCAGTGCCCTGGGCTCCAAAACACTTATAGAATTTTCCATTTGTCAAGATTAAAAAGAACCATATTGCCATGGGCAATATCTTCAAAATAACCACGAGTCCTATAGATGGAAAGTTTGCTTAGGGCACTGGGATCACTGTTTCTCTAGCAAACTGACGAGTTCACAGCGAGGTGTAATTAAAGAGTGAAGCCAAATACAAGCAATTTCCTGTCCACACCCTTTGGAAAATATGCCTAAAAATCTTTGTTTTTGAAACGGAGAAAACCGGGTACTAAAGATCTGTTTATTGGTTCACAGAAAGACCTCTATGGACACTAACTGAAGAGGGAACAAAAGTACTGCACGCCAAGAAATGGACTGTAAGCATAAACCTCAAAACATCCATCACAAATTAAGGTCTGTCCAGAAAAATTAAAGGTCTTTAAAAACAACTGCAATTTTAGAATTTGGATAATTCTCAAAATAAAATAGAGCAAAAAAAGTTGCTTACTAATTAATAAATCATTATCAGAGTAGCGAACCCTGGGCTGGGGACACGGCTCCGCTGGTGGAGTGCCCGCTGACCGTGTGCAGCATCCGGCATTCCAAGCCAGCACTGCGCATGGGCATCTGGTGCACGTGCAAGGCAGAGCAGTCATGAAGATAACGCTCATCAGCTCTTACTAACTCAACCTGAGACCTGGTTCCCACAAGGACAACCCCACCCCAAAAAACGCTAAAGAAGATATAAAAGGAAATATTTCAGTCTATAAGATAGCAGTGAAAAATTAAATGTTGACTATTGTTATAACTATTTATTATTATCATCTGGTATTATTTATTAATATTTAAGTTTAGAAATATATAAATAAAACGATATTTTGTAAGACATGTTCCCTTGAAAACAAATTACTGCCATGATGCTGAAGAGATGGCTCAGTGGTTCAGGCACTTTCCAGTTTTGCAAGAGATCTGGGTTCAGTAGCCATCACCACAAGGGGACTCACATCAATTGTAACTCCAGCTGCAGGGCACCTGATCCTCTCTCCTTGCCTCCAAGGGCATGGCACACACAGGGTGCACACACATACATTCAGACACTCATACATACAAATAAAACAAAATTAATCTTTAAAAATTAATCAGTGTAACAAATGAGAAATGTTGCTGCTAATTATTTTAATGTCGTTGCACGTGCAGTTATTCAGCCATAATTTCCACACACTAGTTCTAGATGTTTGCGTGCTGGTGTGTGATAACAACTGATAAACTCTAGCTCCGCCCAAGTGCTGGCCTGACACTGGAAATGACTGCACGTCTGTATGAAGCCTCTGTACAGACTTGGGAGATGAAAGTACACAGCACAGCTCCTAGCCTTAGTCTACAGGTGAGCCCCGAGCCGAGAAAGAACTCACACACGGAGATGTCTGTTACCATTCAGGCCACCGCTTCCCCGAGTATTCTGAGAACTTCTGGACCACAGCCGCGTCACCAAGGAGACAGCTCTGCGTTTTTCTTATTGGGAAACCTTTAAACATTCCTCAGATTTGTTCTTTTTGACTTGACAATTTTTAATGAATATTATTTGAATTTAACTTTTTAAAAATGTTTTGAAGATTTTAATTGTGATTATGTGCTTGTGGGCCTGTGTTTGGGTTATGTTCATGTGAGCACAGTACCTGTGGTGGCCAGAAGGTGTCAGCCTTGGAGTTAGAGTTACAAGCAGGATGGGTGCAGTTCACCCTCGTCACTGAGCCATCTAGCCAGCCCCTAAAAACTTTGAGGTTAATTTCACACCTCCATTCTGTGTGTTACTTAGCGTCACAGATAAGAAAATATTTCAAGTAATAAAAGTAAAATATTCACCACTCTTATATAAAATTGCGTAAGACACACGTTTCAGTGTTGTCTCACTTTTCTTTCCAAAGAAAGTGACTCACCATAGTCAGAAAGAGTACAGGCGTGAGCAAAAGACAGCAGCATATCCAGCATGGACACAGTGTCAGAGAGCTTGTACAAGCAATGGATGTACTCATAAATCTCACTAAGCAGCTTGCACACTATCCTGAAAACACATGTTGGACAAGACATGATGATGCTTTTCAAAAGAAGACACAGGATTTAATCTAGTGAGGAGAATAATATTCACAGATGAGTTGTATACTACACAAAGTCTATTCCTTGGTTGGCTCGTTTTAGATAAAATAAAGGTATCGATGCTTCAGCTTAAGATCACATCTCCGGCCAGGCAGTGGTGGTGCACACCTTTAATCCCAGCACTTGGGGGGCAGAAACCAGCCAGACACACACACACACACACACAGATGCGGTCATGCTCAAGCCATGTGATTATTTAGGTTTTCATGAGAAGGGTTATAATATAACACACTCAAGGGACGTTTTTCCCTTTCATTGATGAATAGGTACTCAAAATATACATTACATTAATAGTACCTGAAGTCCCAGATTTGAAGCTGTTTTGAAAGCCTAACCTTTCACCTCTGCCTCAGCCCACCAATCCCAAATGTCTCTCTCCTGACTGCAAAGCCACTGTTTCATGAGAAGACAGAGTCGGGCCCATTATGATATTGCCTTAGAAACACCAGAATGTGAGAAGCCAAGACCACAGGAACGAAAGGAGCTGAACTAAGGCCACGACAAGCCCATGCGGGAGCTCCACGCCTCAGTGCACATGCAGGCAGGAGGACTGGGAAGGCAGCCGTCTTCCCCACGTCCCCTCAAGCTTTCCAGGAGGCTCGCTCTTTCTCAACATAATGGCAGACCTTTCCTAACACTCGAAACTGAACTGTCTTTAATCAGACAAAGAGTCAATTAATTAAATCTATTATAGTTCCTCAAATTAAACGAATTTAATTCAGTATTCAAATACCAAATGCTCTTACATGTAAGTCATGTGATAGATTTCTCGCAAAGACTCTTGGCATCTTTCATTCATTTTAATTAAATCTGCTGATGTAAAGCTGTATGAGTTTTTCATTTTAGAAATCTGCAGGAAGTTAAAAGCAAATATCAAGACATGTGCACATGCATATGAGATAAAACACACAGTCTATAGGACAGAAAAATAGGTTTTTGGGTTAACCACTTTAATTTCTGAGATAAAATGTCACAAAGAAAGTTCTAAATAATATCTGTGAAAAATAAAAGATTACATCAAGGATAAAGTGAGGTATTATTTACCCAGTCTCTGCAGTATAATTGGTTGGTAAGTTTTGCAATGGCCTTGCAGAAAGGTTGGAAGACTGCATGACCAACAGGGAGGACCCTCTGTGCCCCTCTTTTGGTCTCTGACTTCCTTAGTCCTTGTCCTCTAACTGAACCTCAGTCTCCAGCTCCACAACTACCTCATCCAAACCTCACTGCCAGTAAGACAGTGTTTGTATGCACTGTTTGTGTATACATGTGTACATATAAACACATCTGAACACTAAGCAGAAAAAAACAAAACAAAAAACCCAGAGCATTAAAAATGACAATACTGCTCCAAAATGGCTCTAGTAGGAGTGGATATGTACACAGGAAAGGTCACAGTTCTCAGGCTTAAAAACACTAAACAAATATATTTCCTTCTGCAGAAATTTGCAAACCTTTAATATGAAAATGCATCTGGAAAACTATGTAAAACAAAGGTAGATGAGATGGTTCAGTTGGTAAAGAGCCTATGGCCAAGTTTGGATACCTGAGTTCAATCGCTGGGACCCACACAGTGGAAGGAGAGGACTGATTCCCACAATGTCCTCTGACCTCCAAGTGCACACACACACACATAAAACAATGAAGTTAAAATTTTTTAAACAAAAGGCAGTTCATTATTTTTCTAAATTCGTTTGTCAAAAACAGATGTAGACTTTGTTTCTTAATTTGCCTTTGCGTCCTTTGGTTGTCCCCTCACGACTGTCATTTTGCTGGCGTGGCTGCTCAATCAGCACATCAGAGACACCGGATACCAAACAGTAGGAAGCTAAACTCACGGAGTGCTGGAAAGTCTACCAATGCACTTCCATAAAACCAGGAACACCCACGCTGTAGAATAATCCTCTTGTGCACTCAGGCTGGTTTAATGAAAAGCTGATTGGCCGATAGCCAGGCAGGAAGTTAGGTGGAAAAGCCAAACTGAGAATAATGAAATGAGCAAGGGCAGCGTCAGAAGAGTCATAAAATGAGGTCAAAGCCATGAGCCTCAGAGAAGCACATAGATATTTGAACAGAAATGTGTTAAGTTGTAAGAGCTAGTCACTCGCAAACCTGAGCTATTGGCTGAGCATTTACAATTAATATTAAGTCTCATGTTGGTTACTTGGGAGTGGCTTGATGGACAAAAACTTCTACCTACAAATGGTGCCTAACATGAGATTCAAACACACAACCCTGAGATTAAGAGTCTCAGGTTCTACCAAATGAGCTAGCCAGACATTTATAATTAATATAAGCCTCAGTGTGTTTGAGAGAGAGTGTGGAACAGGAAAATTCCGCCTACACAGCCATTTCCTCATACTCCAAGTTAACCTTAATAAACTCCGAGGGAAGCTGGTCGCTCGAGAGCGCAGCACAGTCTGTGGTCATCTGGATGAAAAAGCCCCGGGCAGAGCTGAAGCTGGTGCGTAATGGAAGGCCGTATTTCTCTGCAAGCTGTGATATCATTCCTAGGAACAGGAACAGGAAAAACAAGCATTTTCTGTGGAGCCATAGGCTTTTTTTTTTTTAATATTTATTTATTATGTATATAACATTCTGCCTCCATGTATGCCCGCATGCCAGAGGAGGGCACCAGACCTCTTTACAGATGGTTGTGAGCCACCATGTGGTTGCTGGGAATTGAACTCAGGACCTTTGGAAGAGCAGGCAATGCTCTTAACCACTGAGCCATCTCTCCAGCCCCTGAGCCATAGGCTTTTTAACTTACTATTTTATATGCAAACAGAAAACTCTTTAGTTTTTTTAAAGAGTAAAAATATTTCAGTGTCCAAATGTAGGTAAGTATCCTTTAAGAAGATATTCTCTGGCTGGGCATGGTGGCGCACACCTTTAATCCCAGCACTTGGGAGCCAGAGCCAGGTAGATGTCTGTGAGTTCCAGGCCAGTCAGGCTGTTACACAGAGAAACCCTGTCTAGAAAACAACAAAAAGATATTCTCTGACATGTATTTTTAAAGGAAACTAAATTGTAAAAATTAAAACAAGAAAGAACATGAACTCTTTATCTCTGATTAGGAATATTATAGTTCCATTACGTAGTAAAACAGAAGTCACAAATTGCTGCAACTTCGATCTCACCAGCGTATCCCAAATGAAACAGATATCAGATAATCTGAATGTAGTTCTGATCTCTGTCAGTCCCACACACTAAATTCTAAGTCTGTACCTCTACTTTATAGCACTTGATTGTGAACATTCCTTGTGAAACACCAGCACGTGTTCCTATACTAGCTCCTCCTGGCTCTCCTGATTTCTCAATGGTCTCACCATTTGAGGCTAGAAAGTTCACTTAGCACTTGAGGTTACATATATCTTTACCATGGCCATGTCTGCTTAACAATTTTTCCTTTAACTCTGTGTCTTAGTCAGGGTTCCTACTGCAGTGATAAAACAGCATGACCAAAAGCAATTTTGGGAAGAAGAAAGGACAGCTCTGAAATCACATTCCATCACTGAGGGCAGTCGGGCAGGAACTCAGGGAGGTTCCCTAGGTGGGACCTGTGCCAAGACCACGGAGGTCTTGCCGGCTTGCTTGGCTTGTTTTCTTAGAGCAACAAGGCCCACCTGCCATCCACAGTGAGCTGGACCCTCCCACATCAACCACCAACCATGGAAATGGTAGGGACGTGCTTCGGCTCTAGCCTGTGTCAGCCGGCACACCTGGCACTCTTGTCTCATGCTGGCTGCTTTCACCTCTCACTACCACTCCAGACACAGGTCAGTGTTCACTTGCTACAGGAGTCCAACAAACATGCTGAACAATCACTAGAGCTCCCAGATGCTCATCCTCTGAGAAAACGGGTGCCAGCCCCTGGCAGGAGCATTTTAGTATCAATAGTCATTCTTCGAGCAACTTCCGGTGGATAGTAGGTCACCCTGTAACACTTCAACATCACCAATTTTTATTTTTTCCCCCCCTTTTTCTTTTGAGACAGGATCTTACTATGTAGACCAGGCTGGCCTAGAACTGACTATGTGGACCAGGCTGACCTCAAACTCATAAAGGTATGTTTTCTCTACCTCTTGAGTTCTGGGATTAAAGGTGTGTGCCACCAGACCTGGTGACATCATTGTTTTTAAAGGAGGCTTCTTAAAGAATAATGTGTGTTAGCTTCACTGCACATATATAAAATTATATATATATATAACACTATGTTATATAGATATATATTAAAAGTATATATTCCATATATTATATAGTAAGGTGTACACACACACAAACACTAGTTTCTACCGCCAGTAAAAATGGAAATCACGTGATAAACTGTTTTACTAGTGAAAGCCGTGAGACATGCTGGAGCAGTTACCTGCTATGTCATCCACTATCTCTGTGTATGTCCTCCGAGCTATGTCTAGGAACTCACTGATGTTGGAGCGCACTGCATAGCACTTCTGAGTGCGCATGTTCAGGCAGCCTTTCGTGTACCGTGCGTCATCATTTATCACTGTTCTAATCTTGTCAAGTATTAGCCCAAACCTAGCATTAAGACAAAACGAAAACAGTAGCTGTTTAATGAACGCAAAACTTTGTTGAGGGTTATTTTATAATATTTAATTAATGTTTATATTTATCTAGGTTAGAGCAACCATTGCCTCAACTTAAACTATTTTGCAGTTAGGAATACTCAAAAATAGTATGAGACCACCAAATAAAACTAAACTTTGCTAATGGGAACATCTCCCACGTTACACATGATCACTATGGCTGCAAGTACAACCTGACCCCTTAAAGAAATGAGACAAAATTCGAACTGCCTGCGCCTTCATTCCATATGCATGCCGGTCCCTTCAGGAAAGGCACAGGGACCCTTCAGGAAGGGAGACATGACTGAGCATGTGCTGTGGACATGGGAACTGGAACAGGAGCCCACCATCACTAGTTACCAAGCACAGCAATTACTGCACAAGTCTCAGCTGTTCTGGAACATCACAGTGCACTAAGCTGGCTGACCATCAGGTTCAGACTGTGGCCTCACAGAGGGTGCTCTTAACCCAACAAGGCAACTGTTGAACCTATAACCTGTTTGGTCAAGAACCAGGGTGTTATTGCTAATAATTAACAATGTTATTGGGGGCTGGAGAGATGACTCAGTGGTTAAGGGCACTGGCTGCTCTTCCAGAAAACCCGGGTTCAATTCCCAGCACCCACATGGCAACTCACAACTGTCTGTGATTCCAGTTCCAGGGAACCTGATATCCATGGCAAAATGCCAATGTACATTTAAAAACAGAAAGAAAGAAAGAAAGAAAGAAAGAAAGAAAGAAAGAAAGAAAGAAAGAAAGAAAGAAAGGAAGGAAGGAAGAAAGACCCACTGGAGCAGGCAGTTATTAAAAAGAAAAAATGTTAATTGTTTTTAGAACTTGCCCTACATTCCTATCTACTGGGATTTTTTTTTTATTTCATTAGGTCTTCCATGATTTCATAGAAAAGAAGGATGTAGTTGATACAGGAAGTGCCCCCATGGAGGACGGCCTGAAAGGGAACACTGGCTGTCAGTACAAACAGCACTCCGTTGCCGTCCTATTATTGTGCTTACAGGATTAGCATGTACTCTTGTAAGACTCCTAATGGATACTTTGAAGAATCTTGAGTAATTATTTTTGAGAGAGGGTCTCACTATGCAGCCCCAGTTTGCCTGGAACTTGTGATGTAGACCAGGCTGGCCTTGAACGCACAGAGATTTGCCTGCCTTTGCTTCCCAAGTGCTAGGATTAAACTCATTCTGGCCAATAGAAAACTAACTCAACTAACCACCACACCCAGATCAAATAATTTTTCTATAAAAGACACAATTGTTAAGATCAGTTGTATTTGGGAAGAAAAGTATAATCTCTTAACAGGTGACAGGACCTGTTATCTTCCAACGAGCCATAGTAAGCTCTTAGCAAGGGTGTGCTACAGTTCTTCAAGGTGGCCTGTAAAAAACAAAATCAAAAGTGAGCAAGTCATGGCATTATTCAAATTCAACACTTCATATTTAACACTTGATCAAATGATGTTTGAGAAACTAATCTACTGCTGAAGACAATGCTTACATGTGTCGCTGAGCATGGAGAAGTTGAGCTGGTGCCTAGCTACAAGTTGGCCCCCTACTGAGCAGTATTCATGGTACTGGAAGGGACTCTTATCTGCTACCAGGGGAGAAAGGTAGTCATCAGTATCACCCATCTATAATGCCCTGTGACCTACAACAGTGACCTGTCTGTAAGACATACTGACACAGCGGTAGCAACCACTATGCGAGTGACCAAGCGCTTTCTGACTTGGACGTAAGGTCCACTTCATGAGACAACAGCCATTCCTGACACTGAGGAAGTGGACAAGAACCTGCTACCAAATAGGTTCCAGGCCTGGGGAGATGTAATGTTATTATTCTGCTAAAGAAACAGCGATGAAACGACTCCTGGTGGCATACTGCTATCACCATAGAGCAGGGTCTCTCAGCTCTCATCAGAACACAAAAGGAGAGTGGGGAGAGTCTTTGGAGCACTCAGTCCTAAATGGGATGTCTTCACCAAAGTCCTCCCTTCACAGCTCAGGGATCAATACAGACGAGAAGGTGGAAAGAGTGTAAGAGCCAATAATGCAGGGTCTTCCGGACACAACAGTACTGACGTACATATGAACTCACAAAGACCATATGTACAAGGACTGCAAAGGTTGAGGAAGTGGACGTGAGCTCTTACCCTGACCAGGACACTATCTGCAGCAGATACCCACGAGCAAAGGGAAGATCATTTTTCTCCACTGGAGTGTCACTGGGTATATTAACCTCAAGGAAGGCTCCAAACTCAAGAGCAGATGGCCAACAGAAAACTAACTCAACAGTATTTTTATAGACTTTTCTTTGTCTCATTTTGCTTTGTTTGGGCATCTTTTTGTCTTATCTGGTCTTTAGCTTGTTTGTTTTGGTTTTCTTTTTTGTGAGAATTTTGTGTGTGTTTCTTATTTGCTATTGTTTCTGATTTTTTTTTAAGAGAAAAAAACAAAGTTGTGTGGGTAGAGAGATGGGGAGACCTGGGAAGAACTGAAGAAGGAGAAAACAAGATCAAAATATATTGTATGAATTTTTTTCAATAAATAAAAAATGTTTTTAAAAGAGTTTAAAGACATTAATGAATAGTTATGGAGAGAACCATTTTAGAAAACTACAGAGAAAAATGGATAGGAGATAAATAATAGTGTTACATTAATGTTAAGCATTCTAAATCTGATAAATATATTGTGGTTATGTAAGAGAACATCCTTGCTCATAGGAAAGACATGATTTAATATTAGATACTACAACTTATTTTAAATGGGTCAGTAAGAGTATGGACAACAATGCGCATTTACCTATCTATGGTCCACGTATGTAAGAGACAAAATACACTGTTCTGACAACTTCCAAGTTTACTTTTTTCTAAAGAAAATGTCTAAAAATAATGCTTTATATGTTTTGTGCAACAGACATGTGAATTTACCTTTAAAGGATCCACAAGTTCCAAAGTATGCTTCAGGTAGATCAAATTTGTTATCTTTGATTCAGCTGCATTAACCTGTCAAGATAAAAGACAATGTGAACAGCCCTCATTTCAATACAGTGATAGGTTTTTTCTTGGTCAACTCCTACCAACAATATCCCGAAACTGTGTTAGATCAGTCAAGCTGGGATGTCAGCCCACAGGGCAGTTAGAAATGACTGGCCACACTGTAAACCCAGCACACTGGTCTCCTGAATCTGGTGAGAGGTCTCCCCACTGTACCACCTTCACTCTACTGCAGCAACTCTGGTGCAGTTTAGACTGCAGTAGCCGCAGCATCAGGAGACTGACATGCACTGAATGAGGGCACAAAGCTTCCCGTAAACAGGCTCAATCTCAGCTTCCCAGTTGACTCAGAACAACTTCCCCCATTGGTTCCTGTTGGGCAAGAAAATAATTTTACCAATTTCAACATTATTAATCTCAAATTAATAACAGTCTTTCAGAATATAGCATATAAAATGTTATAGCTAAACTTCATAGAAATTAAACTACACTCTCTAGAGCACGGGCAGATTTAACACCGACAGGAAGCAGGTTTAAGATGTCACAATTAGGATGCACTGAACTTATGTGCGGCTGTTCATTTTTGAGGTGCCCTCACCTGAATTCTCATTACAAAGGACCTGGATTGCAAACAGAAGACCCAGTGTGCAAGAAACATTATGAATGTCTGTAGTTCCTAAGATGTAGTCTCATATTCTCTTACAATGGATCCCGACACTAAACCAAAACCGCATAAAGCATCGTTACTATCGGTAGAGGGAAGGAGGGCAGACGATGAGAGGCCAAGTGTAGGTGGCATAGTGGGAGTCTAGAAATGGAGTCCAGCACATACAACACCTGGACTTATGGCCAGATTCAGTACAGTTCAACAGGAAAAGAACAGCACAATTATGAATCCATCTGGGGAAAGAATCATGACCCGTTAGTTCTACATACACAAATTAATGCAGATAGATTTATAGGACTAAATAAAAAAGTAGAGTTATAAAACATTTGGCGTGTGTTAAGACTCCTCTGTGACGGACAACTAATGCTGCATCTGCCAGTCGTAAAACCAAACTAACAGAGCAAGCTGTCGCATCTCCTCCAGTCTGGCTGGTGCTGGTGCACAGGAGTCAGATTCCAAGTCCTCCTGTCCCCAGCCTCAGCGTCTACCTCACAGAGATGCCCTACTTTAAGGACTTGCTGGCACTGAAGTCACAGGCTCTACCCTGCTCTCCTTTCCCTGGCTCCTCTCCACTCCTGCTGCCTCCATGTGGCCCTGACTTGACTACCCTCCCCTGGTGTCTCTGCAGCAACAGCTAGTCAAAATTATGGGCTATAGCTAAGGCATTATCCATAATGTGAACAATTTTGCCACTAATTATCCATTTTAGAAAATAATGGTTTTTGTCAAATGACTTCCACTTCCATCATTACCATGTTCAGGGTGGGACCAGCAAACAACAAAACAAATGAAACATGAAAACTGGAGTAGAGAAATCAATGGGATCTAACCGTGGTCTTAGTCTTGGTGTCTATCGTAGAACAGACAAACTGAGACAGAAGTGGAATTTTATTCAGCGGTGATGAGTGAAATTTGCAGGAAAACCAATGAAATGGAGATTATATGAAGTGAAATAAGCTAGTCTTAGACTCAGGAAGACAATTACCGTATTTCCTGTAGTATCTGCTCACAGAGAAGGGAGGGACAGATTCAAGTTACCTGACAATCAGGTATGAGAGCACATCACTCAAGACTCCACAGAAACAGAGATACTAAGGGGGACATAGTGAACAATTGTATGCTAATAGTTTACAAAGTCGTTGAGAGGCATAAAAGTTGTGAATTACACCTCATCCATTTTAGGAGATGTTAAAGCTTCCTACAGAGTATAGGTTCTAATGGTCATGCTTGTGAGAACTCCCAGGCCACACTGCAGAGCCAGCTGGTTCTCCCCTCCACTGCACAGACTGGATTAGGAAGGTTTCACTCCTGCCTGTCAGCAGCAAACATTTCCCACCTCATTCTGCTCTCTAAAAGATAGGAAGACTCCCCAAATATTAATATAAGCCATCACACTCAAGTTATACTAACGTACACAGCTCCTTTTCAAGTATATGTGCACAAACATACATGTATTCAATTAAATATTCTTCGGTTTATCTTAAATTATATATAGAAATATATATAAGTATTTATATATAAAGAATATATGTATGAACTAACATAACTTTGCTATGTATTAGGTAAACAGTATAGGTTATAAATTGGTTGAAAAATATACAAATTATATATATATATATGAGCAAATATTTGTTTAGTTTAAATACACTAATTCTTCAACTACCTAAGATGCCTTTTTACCATACTATAATATGAAGCAAAAGTTTTAAAAGTCGCCCCCTAAGGCACAAAGCTGTTCCGGGTATCAGTGAGGATACTCTGCCAGGACGTTTGTCCACAGCACAAGCTGTGTCTCACACAATGACATGGCGCGCGCGCTGTGCAGCACATACCGTGTCTTGCTTTGGGATTTGAACTAAAACAGAAAGCAGCTGCTCCGTATCCAGGAATCTTGAAATGACTGAAACAGAAAGGGAGCGTTAGACCATCATAGAGCAATCAAAAAGAGGGTGCGCTGGGTTGTTCGCAGGAGCACAGCCAACATAAGACAACTACGCCACACGGAAGTCTGTGTGACTTAGGCAGGGCCAAGCCCCAGTCAAGTGTTTATATCCTATACAGTCATGGGGCAGAGAGGAGACCCTGATCTTGTGATGGCTGCCTTCCCTGATAAGACAATGTTAGCTCACGGCTGGTCACAGCCTGCATCGGGCCCATGACAGATCATGAGCTAGCTGACTATGGCCATGTATTATCTGAGTAGCACTCATAAACACTATTCCAAATAGACAAAGAATTCCCCTTTTGGCCAGGGGGACATGCATTAAGGTCTGTAGATGCACTACATGGCAAAACATCCATATAAAAAACATTTTAAAAATTAAAAAAAAAAAACTTTTCAAGAATTTACAGCTTTATGACCTGTCTTTCAGAAACTTAAACAAAAAAAGCATAAATAAACTGACTGCATTTTTATTTATATAAACTATAATATAATTATAAATTAAATATAAATTATTTATAATTATACATAATATATAATTTATATACTAAATTATGTAGTTTTATTATATAATTTAAATAGAATTTGTAGGTAAGCTAGACTTAGTGGTGCATGCCTATAACCCTGACATGTAGGAGACAGAGGCAGGAAGGTCAGGGTTTGAAGACCAACCTGGACTGCAGTCATATAAACAAATAATAAGCTCCGTTTACCTGACTGGAGCCCAAAGAAGAGCTCCTCGTCCTGAAGCAGCTCCTGGACACAGTCCAACCTCATGTTGATGGTCTCCACATCAACCAGGGGCTCCAGGATGTTAGAGCGCAGCCTTCTGCTCCCTCCTGCCGTCTTTGTGTAATTTAGAACACCAAAGAGAGTGTGATTGTTCCTTCCGAGAGACAAGTTGGAAATTTCATTAAGGAGAAAAAGAAAAATCCAAGAAAATTTCGTTTTAACTTGGTAACTAAATAATCCTAGAATCTATATCAGTGATTAACAAATTTATTATACAGACAAATTACTAATTCAATAAATTTGAATTAAGGCCTAAACCCTACATTTTTTTGTGTTTTATTGATTAGACAGGATCTCCAGTAGCATACACTGTCCTTGAACTTGTAACACACCACAGCATGGTCTTGAACTCATGACCCTTCGAACTACCCCCTAAGTGCTGGTACTAGAGGTATAGTGTACATCTGATTTGATCCCAAGTATGACATCACTGAACCACAGGTGATTAATAAGGATCAACAATGTCTGCTATGCTAAGCCTGAGCACACAAGGCAGCCATGGTTCCTAATTCTGTGGCTTTCTTGCATAGGTTTGGCCTTGTTGGAAGAAGTGTGTCACTGTGGGGTGGGCTTTGAGGGCTCCCATGCTCAAGGTACATCCAGCGCCACAGTTTACTTCCTGTAGCCTACAAATCAAGATTAGGATTTTTCCTCCAGTACCATATCCACCTGCATGCTACCATGTCCTGCCATGATGATAAAGGACTAAACCTCTGAACCTGCAAGTGAGTCACCCCAATTAAATGTTTTCCTTTATAAGAGTTGTTGTAGTCATGGTGTCTCTTTACAGCAATAAAACCCTAGCCAAGCCAGTGGTTGATGGCCAATAATTTTTATCAACCTACTGATATGACTAAGGACAAAACAAAGAGTAGGGAGAGACAGACAATAATGTTAGATATATAAAAATGATCTTGGTCTGGTGTGAGTAAAGTGTGACTCAGTGAGTAAAGGTGCCTGCCGCCAAGACTGGTGACCTGAGCTTGATTGCTGGAGCCCACGTGGAAAAAGGAGACAAGAGTTGGTACTCTTGTAACTTGTCCTATGACTTATACACACATTAAAGAATGTGTGAGATCATACATGTGCACGTGCACGCGCGCACACACACACACACACACACACACACACAATTTAACCAATGTAAAACAAAAAGTTAAATAAATATCAAAGTTGGTCATTGATTTTCCATGCTCTGATAACACACGAAGGGTAACGGAGAAGCAGTGTAGAGCAATTTCGTCAACAGGCCAGTGGTGCCAGGAGGCAGCTAAACGTAAACCCATCTGTTTCCTCCTGACTCGTGGCCATGAGCTTCTGCCCACGTACAACACTTACTTCACAGGGGAGAAGAGACGGTTTATTCTAGAGCCAAATGGGAGTGACCATGACCTAGGAATGCAGATTTAGGCCCCAAACTCCACATTCCAACACAGATACAGTTTCGTAAAGTTTTTATTATAACAGAACAAAGAAGGTCCTAAATCGGGGCACTCTGTGATACACTGGTGATGCACAGTAGGAAAACAGCAAAGCAGACATTTCAGCCACAGGACTCAGACGCTATCTGATGGCCTTGGGGCTGGTAGAAAATACAGTTCCTACATTCCAAAGGCTTTCATCTGCTCCTCACAGGGTGCTACAGTACAGAGGCAGGCAAGGGGTGGTTGCTAACGGCTAAAGATAGCGCAAGACCGTGATCAAGCCCTGCACAGCCACGTCCTGGGAACCCACGCTCACACGGGCATCTGTTTATCTGCTTTGCTTGTGTCCCTCACCCAATCTCAGCAACTGAAGGATTGAGTTTTGTTGTTTAGTTAACGTAATTCTTCTGAAGACCTGATTTGTGGAAAATCTGGGTTCAGCAACAATAAACCAGAAATTTAAAATGCTTATTTACTATTTCTCCACCAATAACTTAATTTAATTCAAACTTTCAAGTAACTAGTCACAGAAATCGATAACATTTTATAAGAACTCAGATTGCCTTACCTGTAGTCCTGGTTATTAACAAGTAATTCAAGGTTCTGAGCTGATGATGAATCTATCATGGCTGTCTGTTCACTGCCTTGGAAATAAATCTTCAGTGATTTTGGTGCATAAACTGAATTTTGAATGAATTCAACATATTTTAATAAGGCTGCAGCAGCTGCGAGGCAGTAATACCTGTGAGTAAGCACAGCACAGCGGGGACACCTGTGAGTGAGCACAGCACAGCACAGCGGGGACACCTGTGAGTGAGCACAGCACAGCAGGGACACCTGTGAGTGAGCACAGCACAGCGGGGACACCTGTGAGTGAGCAGAGCACAGCAGGGACACCTGTGAGTGAGCACAGCTCAGCGGGGACACCTGTGAGTGAGCACAGCACAGCACAGCGGGGACACCTGTGAGTGAGCACAGCACAGCCCAGCAGGGACACCTGTGAGTGAGCACAGCACAGCACAGCGGGGACACCTGTGAGTGAGCAGAGCACAGCAGTGTAAACTCAGGATAGCAGAAAGAGATATTCAATTCACCTTGATATTAGGAAAATGTAAAACATTTAGACAGGATTTCTTAAATCCAAAGAGAAAAAAATATCGAGAATGCCAATTTTGGAAACTAAATAATCTTATAAAACTGATTTAGCAATGGACAAATATTTGTTTTTGAAGCAGTCTTACTCTAGTTTAGGACTGTCTGTAATCTACCATAATCTTTGAGCATCGTCTTTCCAAATGCTGAGGCTTGGGCCCCACGCTCAGCTATAAAGAGCAGTGTTCTCAAGTTCATCACTTGCAACTGCTTATCAGAAGACAGAGTGGTGCGTGTCTCCAACCCCAGCATTGAAGAGGCAAGGCCAATATGGTCTACACAGCACATTCCAGGCCAGCCAGGGATACAGAGTGAGATGGAGTGGGTGGGGGAGGAAAAAGAAAATGAGTGAGGGGGAGAGAGAATAATAATAATTTGTTTTTCTTTTCTTTTTTGTTTTGTTTGTTTGTTTGTTTTGTTTTTCGAGACAGGGTTTCTCTGTAGTTTTTTTTTTTTTTTTCAAGACAGGGTTTCTCTGCGTAGTCCTGGCTGTCCTAGAACTCACTCTGTAGACCAGACTGGTCTTGAACTCAGAGATCCACCTGTCTCTGCCTCCTGAGTGCTGGGATTAAAGGAGTGTGGCATCACTGGCTGGCTGACAGTCTCACTTTGTAGGCCTGACTAGCCAGGAACTTACTGTATAGCTCTAACTGACCTCAAACTTGCAACAATCCTCCTGCCTCAGTCCCCTAGAGTGCTAACTAAGATCACAACCATGGGCCTCCATGTCTGCCTAACTGTGTTTTTCTTCTGGGACTCAAATTTCTAGCATCCTATAGTTAATTAAGATTTTCACTATGAGGTAAATGAGCAGCTATTATCAAAGCAATAAATTATAATTCATTTGGAGAAAATCTAAATATATAATTACAATATATAATCTAAATATGATTAAATCATAAATATATACCTTGTACAAAAATGTATTTCGGTAATAACTAGATGTGCATTGTGGGCCAGGCCATTTTCTAGATGACAGTAACACAGCAAGTACAGGACAGAGACAGATCCCCCGGGGAGGAGCAAGCACCTGCTGCAGCTCACCTGGACTGAACCTCCATCAGGACGGAGCTGAACTCGGCGATGCACAACTGTTCAATGTACTCTAAGCCCTTTGTTTCATTGAAGTATTTCCTTTGGACTGTAGTGAAATTAACGTTCTGAAAGAGATTTTAATTTTAAAATAAATCATTAAATGTCATGTTGTTGTTCAATACTGATTTCTTACCTAAGCCTAGTGGATCAGACCTAGAATCCCAGCACGGAGAAGCTGAGGCAGGAGGATTTTCATGAGTTCAAAGTAGAGTAACACCTTGTCTTAAAAACAAAACGACCTGCACAAAAATAACTCTGGTTTATTAAACACCTTCCCAATATGTAATGTTTCCAATATTTAAATGAGTTTTTCTCATTTATAAAATGAAAATGGAAGCCGAGAGTAGTGGTATCCACCTTTAATCCCAGTACTTGGGAAGCAGAGGCAAGTAGATCTCTGTGAGCTGGAGGCCAGCCTGGTCTACAAAGTCAATTCCAGGACAGCTAGAGCTATATAGTGAGACCCTATCTTGAAAACAAATAGGAAAGAAAGAAAGAAAATGGCTGTCCATCTTTCTGTGTGAGTGACAGTACAATCTGTAATTCTCAATTGGAAATTACTTTCACAAACTTAACTGAATATATTAAGAACTATAATAAAACAATAAGCATGAGAGTCTCTGGCATCTAGGAACTGGATCCCACAGAAACATTACATGGGTTTTTCGGGTCCTCTCTAAGTTAAGATAACTGAGGAAAGGCACACCCACCCTTAGACCTAGGCAGTGCCATGATGGAATTACATCAATTCCACCATCAAATCTAGATGGGCACATGATTCAAAGTAAGGCAGTAGCTCCTGGGTATCTTACTGTTTGCTTAGTTTTGTTTGAGACTAGATGTCCTTGTTCAGTCTGAAGGGAGCAAAAGCACCTTGGCCTAAGTGCTGCCATTTTGACTTCAGACTCCATTTTACATGTAGGGTAAAACAAAGTTCAGGTTCCCAAGCCATAGGGGAGCTGTAACTTCCAGTAACTGACCCACTCCTCCCTAAACCACAGAAATAGTCATTGTGTGTCTTTAGCTCTCTACAAACATTATGGCTGTCCCTAGAAACAGAGGAACAAATGAATCTGATTGGTTGGACTGGAAAGTTTACATTGTAGATCAGTTGACAAAGATGAACACACTCAAGGAAGCCCCTAACCTTTAAATCCTGATTGGTGAAAATTGTAATTGTAACTTGGCAACAAATGTTTGTGACTTTTGTGCTTATAAACCCTCTTCTGTCCCTGCCTGAAGCTGCCAGGAGAAACCAGGCTCTTGAGTCCTTGTCCTGCAACCCTAATCGATCACTGATGCACTTATGTGGTGATTCATTAAAGTCTTTAGAAGCCATAAGTGCTGTCTCTCTCCTTCCTCGTGGCACAGAACAGGGTAGGTGTAACAGGTGAGGGTGGCCTGCACACCATGTCCAATGACAGTGGCTCTCTTTCTTCAATGAAACAGAGAGGAAAACAAAAGTAACGTTGTGAACTAAGAATTTACCTACTTTGAAAAAAAGAGGATAAAGCCAGGTGATCCCACACTGAGGTGAGGGCAGAGGATCAAGAGTTCAAGGCCAGCCTTAACTACCCAGCCTGCAGTGAATGAGACCATGGTTCAAAAACACTTCTCTCCCCAAGAAAATAATGGACAAGCAAGAAGGGAACAGTGGACTCTGGAGTATGCTCTGTTACGACTACCAAAGCCTTCATCAGGCAGGAACACACATGCCAGAACTTTTATAAGCATCTCATTTCATCTTCACAACAAGTATACAAGTCCTTTTATTCTAATTTTCTCTAAGTAAAATTCTGAAAAGTCAAGTAACTTTTCACATGCCATCCAGTTCAGAGTTAACTTCTTTCACTCTGAGGCTCATGCTCCTAGTTCACACTGCTCCTGACTTAAGAAGCTCTCTGTATGGTGACTTGGTTATAATAAAAACAATACAACATTGATTTTTCTCTCTTGTAATACTTTCGTCTGAAATATTTTCATGGCTTGATCCTTCATTCCATTCAGGATTTTGTTAGTACCACTAGCTGTGTAAATTCCTGTCTTTATGTCCTGGTGATAACAGATTGTTCCCCACAATTTTTTAATATTTTGTTTGTTTGGTTGTTTTTGATACAGGAGGATCCCTCTACAAAGCCTTGATGTCATGGACCTCAATATGTACACCAGGTTGGCCTAGAACTCACAGAGTCCCCCTGCCTCTGCCCACACCCCTGGTCTGTAGTTTGCAGTCGTAAGCTGAAGTAGTTTTCGGCTCCCTCCCCAAAGGAGCTTTTTGTCTGTGTTATACCACAGCAACAGACATCAGATGAGAACACCTCTTAACTACCCAATACATTTTTCTCTTTTGCTTAAAGTAGAATGCAGGTGTCAAATAGAGGGTATTCTCAATAAATTTTATGATTTTTAGTAATATATTAGACTCCAATTTGTATGAATTGACTACCTTGGGACCTTAAATATATAGCTAGTCAAACAGCTGCTTTTTATAATATCATGAAATGCAATCTAAATTTTGAATGCTACCAGAATGAAAACTTCCTTACCTTGAAATTTTCTGTGACCAGCGTAAACAACTTGGTTGAATTTCCCACAACACAAGCAGTATTTGACATTATAATTTCCAAAGGTGATAAAACTTTGAGCTTAGTGATCACCTGAAAATGTTAAAATAATCATTTTCTAAATGTAGGCAAAGAACAGTTTCCAAAGCAGTTCTGCATTATTCTAAGAACCAAATTGTTAAGATGTGCAGATAAACTCCAACAGTCCTAATTCAATGTTGCAGTTAAAATGTATTTCAAACGCTGATGTATTAAACAATTCCACCTAAATAAAATATGAAATCAGAAACATAGGCCGTATTTTACTCACTGGTTTTTACCAGTCTAAACTCAAAATCATTGAGTTTATCAAATATTTATTATCAATCCAAAACTTTTTAAATTAATGTGCTTGTTTTTTCTCTTTTGTGGTCTATAACCACTTCAAATTTGTGGCTGTAGGAACACGCACCTTTGCATACGTCGTGTTGTCTGCGAACTGCGACAAGATAATCTGCGGGCTCTTCAAGTCGATGCTCGCCATCCCGACCTCGCCTCTGGCCAGCCCTCTTCCTTCCACCACGGCTACGATGACTGACGGGGCGTGTGCAGACACTGCAGAGGACGTGCCTGGGAACAGTTGGCGGGTCAAACATACACATGAATGTGAGCGGCTGTTTGTACTCCTTCACGTAAGACCTCAAAGCCCTGAATTTATCTATCTATCTCTATGTCTTTTATTTATTCTTTGATAACATTGCAGGTGGAACACAATGCACACTGACCAACACCAACTCCACAAAGAGCACCACTCCAACGCACCTCCGCCTAGCTTTTCTCTAATGAATCCCTCTGGTGCCGCCTGCAGGGATGGTGGCTGATTTTGCAGCCTTGACCTTGCATGGCTCTTGTACAGGTACCACGTCTAGTTAATACATCCAGAAGAGGAGCCTTTATCATCTTTGTTTGCCTGCTCTCTTTAGTTTTTCAAGACAGAATATCCTGTGTAGTTCTGGCTGTCCTAAGGATCCACCTGCCTCTGCCTCCCATTGGCTAGGATTAAAGGCATGCACCACCACCACCTGGTGAACATTTAAAAAAAAAAAAAACTCTGTTACTCAAAACAATTAAAACTATTAAAGTATTGTGTCAGATTGAGTGTGGTGGTGCACACCTTTAGTCCCAGCACTCTGGAGGCAGATCCCCGTGAGTTCAAAGCCAGCCTGGTCTACAAATTGAGTTCCAGGGTAGCCAGGAATGTTACACCTAGAAATATTGTCTCAAAAAAAAAAAAAAAAAAAAAAAAAAAAACAAACTATTATGTCAAAACTTCACATTAAGGATGGTTTGCCTTAATTTTGAGACAGAATGTGTATCCCTAGCAACTTTGAACTTGCTAAGGAGAACAGACTGGCCTCTGATTTGAGGCAATCCTGCCTCCACCTCTCAAGAAGTATTGAGATTACAGGTAGATACTACCAACCACTGCCAGCCTGTGGGGTTTTAAAAAACTTGGAGGTGGCTATCCCTGTATCTAGCTACAGTTTTCTAACTCCTGGGATGAGATCACATCCCAAGCCTTAATTTTACACATAGGAGATAAATTTATACATTGGTTTATTTTACAATTTAATGAAATAAAGTTATTAAGAGAATTTGAATTTGGGGTTAAAATACATATTATTCAGCTTATTCTATCATATAAGTGCTAAAATTATTTTATAATAAATAACCATAAAGCAAAAAGGATAATGTAGTAACTGTCATGTCTACTCAAGAGCTGGCTACAAGCAACAAGTGGAAGTGTATACACATAAATGCGTGCTGTGCACCTACCACAGTGTCTAGCTCCAAGCATCAACATGCAGTAAGTGCTTATCACATGTCAAGGGCATATTATTTAATTTTTTTTTTTTTTTTTTTTGGTTTTTCGAGACAGGGTTTCTCTGTGGTTTTGGAGCCTGTCCTGGAACTAGCTCTTGTAGACCAGGCTGGTCTCGAACTCACAGAGATCCACCTGCCTCTGCCTCTCAAGTGCTGAGATTAAAGGCGTGCGCCACCACCGCCCGGCCTTCATTTAATTGTTACAAAATTCTATCAAACAGGTACTGTTGTTTACTTAATTTATCTTAAGGGTGATTGAGAGATTGGGTCAGTGGAAGAGCAAGGGCCTACCGCATGTCAGAACTTGGGTTTGGTCCACAATACTAAGTAAGTGATGAATAGATGAATGAAAGAATGAACAAACGGCGTGTATGAAATCTCAAGTGTAAGAAAGACTGCTATGTTTAGAGTGGTGCAATGCCGAAGGGAAATGCTGGAGGTACTGCTAGAGAAATGTCAGCAGCCCTCACAATGATGCCCACATACTTACACCTGATGTGACAGCAATGGGGAAGAAATTAGGAGTACTGAATGTAATGTGGCCAGTTCCATGGGCTTCACTCTATCTTCGTGTTCACACACTGAAGTTCTAATCCCCAACCACTAAGACTATGACCTTATTTACCTATATCTGAAAGCCATGCTTGCCCTCTACAGAGGTTAGTAATATTAAGTGGGCCATTTGAGGAGCCTTAGTCCACTATAACTGCATACAAGTGTGAGAATATCAAGACGCAAAGACACTATGGGGAGAGAACTGAAAAGGAGCCAAGAGGAGGGCAAGATAAGGAGATAAATGTTTAATGCAATCAACTTGTACTTTTTGTAGAAGACCCAGAAAAATGAATACAGTAAATGACCACAAAAATCAACAAAATACATGTATAGTGTACTTTCTAAAAGAAAGTACAATAACCATAAAAATCCTGAGTGTGGTTGGGTGTGAAAGGATCTCAGCCATGAGTTGAGGAGTGGCCCCCAGCAGGTGGTGCTGTTGAGGTGGTGACTGGCGCTAAAGGTAGGTGTTCGTTATCTAAACACATCCCCAAGTCTGTAAAAGGTATAATGACAGAGCTAGGCATGCGAATGTCAGCTCTGAGTCACCCATTTCCTACCCCCAATCTCAGTGGGCTGAGGTCTCAAGCTAGAGTTGGGTGGACTCTTTTCTTTGGTCTGCTTTGGTGGTTATCCAGGGTGGACAGATGTTTGCTCTTACCTTCCCAGGAAGTCAGGCAACACTTACACACCCTGTAGCCAAGGCATTCTTATCTATGCCTTAGAGATTGGTGCACACCAAACACCCATTAATTGATCCCTCAAAATTGAGTACATTTAAACAAAAATTAAAATTTTAGTATTAGAAAAACACTCAAGAATACTCTTAGGGTCAAAGTTTTCATTTCAATATCACACAAAAGAGATTCTTTTTCCTTTTTGTCAAAACAGTTCAAATACTCTGATGTTACATTTATTGACAATAGGAAGCATGTAGCCATGTCGCTACATAGGGGCCCATGACACATGTGTCATCCAGCTCTCCGTGTCCATGAGGGATGACTTGCAAGTGAGCTAACCGCCCAATTTATAATTTACAAAACTTTAAAATTCTCAAAAGAACATCAGGGTTATCTCCCACCAGTTTTACCTGAGTATCCTACATGTGGTGTCCAACTTTTATAGCCTGATCTCTGGGGATTTCCAGCAGACAACGGAGTTCTAAATATTTGTGGGTAATTGGTATCTCGTGCAGAAGAAGAGCTTGTTGTACCAACAGGAAGATTGGATGCAACCGTGTGTTTTGCATGAGATCTTATGTTTCCAAATGATGAACCTAAATTTGAAAATTTATTAATAATTCTTAGTGATTAGCATTAGAGAATTATGTATTAATCCTAAAACTTATCACATCTACTTTCTATAAATTCAATTTGATAATTTAAAAATTATAACAAATAATTAAATGATTGACAACTGTGTTTGTTCATAATGACTTTATTTTCTGTATTATCATAATAGTGAGTTCCCTGATAACATTTTTGTACATGTATATATTGTACTTTGGTCATATTCAATCTCCATTATTATCCTCTCTTGCACCCTCCTACTCTACCAACTCCTCCTCTTCCCAGACAGTCCCCTCTACTTTCATGTCTCTTTTGATCACTGACAATTTGTTTGGTTGGTCAGTTTTTTGAGACAGAATTTCTGTGTGTAACAGTCCTAGCTGTACTGGAACTTGCTCTGTAGACCAGGCTGGCCTCAAATTAAAGGCAAGCACCACCACCGCCTGACAGTTTGTTGTTTTTAAGATAAATCTTACTGTGCATCTCAGGCTGTGGTTGAACTCAATCTATAGTCCAGACTTGCCTTCAACTTATGGTCCTCCTGCCTCAGTCTCCTGAGTGCTGGAATTACAGCACATGCTACCACACCTGGCTTGAGAATCACGTGCAAATATATGCTGACATGGGGCTGGGGTGCAGCTCAGCGGGCAGAGTGCTCTGGGTTCCCAATGTGGTGATACATACCCGTACTCTCAGCACTTGAGAGGGGAGGAAAGGGGTTCAGAAGTTTAAGGTCATCCTGACCCAAAGAGTGAGCTGAGACCAACACGTAGAACTTTGCTTCAAAACTAAAGGAATTGATTAAGGAGCTATTCTGATACGGCTCTTGAGTCTATGAGTCCACTGAGCCTACTCTTGCTAAAGTCATTAGTTTCCCTCCAGCCCCCAGGTGTAGTTTACATTCTCACCAAGTGTCTCTGCCTATGCAAACAGTGTCACAGTCAGCTTCAGGCTTTCTTGGCTCCAGCCCTTTCTCAGACAGGTGATTGCCAACACGCTACCTACTTTACAGCTATGTCATAACATTTCACACAGTGTACATCAACAGCCTCGCTGTGTCTGCTAACACATAAGTTCCAAACAAACAAGCAAATGAAAACGCAGGGCTCTTCCACACCCTTTGATTCCTATGCCACGTGTCTTTGCTCTCCTTACACTACCTTCCTGGACCAAGTCCCTTTTCCTCGGCCTTCCCATTAACTGGTGGCCTACAGAGTTCCAGACTTTCCAAACTTCACTTCTAAATATTGACTCTGGCATCTCATCTGTTTCCTGGTGTCTACTGACATCATTTCCTGATAACGTTCAGGTTTGCATTTACAGCCTTCTCTTATCTCCCACACTGTACAGCAGGGTTAAGATTTCCAGTAACGGACGGATGACAAGTGTGTCGGCTTGCTTAGTGGAATCCACACTCATGGTCAGTCATTCAACTCTGTCCTACAGTAGGGTAGTAGTATATAAATCAACAAACATGTTGTGTGTTTTCAAAATTATTTTTATATATTGAAATTTGATTTTTACATAATTTTCACATGCCAAAAAAATAACACTACTTTTGAATTTTTTTCAACCCTTTAAAAATTCAAAAGTAGTTGGACTTGGTTGTACATGCCTCTAATCCCAGCTCTTGGGACACAGAGGCAGGCAGGCCTGAGTTCCAGGACAGCCAGGACTACAGAATACTGTCTTGAAAAGAAAAAAAGCTCCCCAAACAGCATCAAAAACAAAATGTGAGTTTGAGGCAGGCCTGGCCGACATAGCCAGTTCGGGGACAGACAGGGATATATAGAGTCTTCCATCTCAAAGAAAACTTCAAAAGTTAGGTCAGCAGTACAACTCCGTGGTTACAAAGAGGACTTGAGTTCAGATCCCTGCTGGTTACCATCCAGCAAGGCTTGCCCTCCACCAGCCTAGCTGATGCAGGCCTTTCGCACTCAAGGATAAGGCAGAAAGCCATGGAAGAGGATTCCCGCTGGTAGGAAACAATCATAAGAAACTCTCAGGATCATGCAGTAGCCTGTGCAGCACCCACGCCTACAATTCTCAGTGCTGCGGGTCTCAGCTGAGCTACACAGGGAATCTGAGACCAAGCTCCTGGGCTACACAGAGAACTCATACACAGAAAAAGTACACAACCCTACAAAGTAAAAATAAAGAAATGTCACCATTATCTAACTTCTTAGGCATAAACTTTTATGTCTTCCCAGAATTTCTAAGTGTCAAAGGGTGAACACATTTTTTTCTACCAGTATTATTACAAGCCATTTTGAACTTTTGTTCATCTTAAACTCTTGAAAATGTTATGCTCTCCCTCTCACACGCGCACACACACATATGCTCACACCCAAAAGCCCCCACACATTCAACCATGCATGCACGCACACACACACACATGCAGAATAAATGTGTCTTGTGTCTCAGTTCTGTTTCAGATTCCCGTTTCAGCGTTGTCAGAGAGGTCATCCTCGTGACTTAGTAATCATGCCTCCGTAATTCTTAAGCTTGTTTCTCTTAAACACTTTTAACCTAATATTAAACATAGAAGACTTGAACAAGTATTTCTTCACTCATAAAATCCAGTCAGCCAATCCTTGCTTTATCCTCCACAGGAATTGAGCTGACCCTGAAGGACTTTTTCACCCGTTTAAATGTATGGGTGTTCAGCCGGCATGTATGCCTGTGCATCAGAGGCCGGAAGAGGGCATCAGATGGAGTGACAGACAGTTGTCACTCCATCTGATGCCATGTGGATGCTGGGCATTGAACAGCGTTAAGTGCCCTTAACCGATGAGCCATCTCTTTTGTCCCAGAAGGACCTATTTTTAACAGCAAGCATCTGAATTAGATGGGATGTTCACTTTAACCTGCTATCATCCCATTTTAGTACTAAAACCCATCAGCCAAAGCTCAGCTCTCCACTATAAGAAAACATACACACAGTGTCCCATTCACGGAAGCAGGGGACCAGGGAGATGACCCACCAAGCCTGACTCCCAGAGTCCACCTGGTGGAGGTAGAGCGCTGCCTCAGGAACTTGGTCCCCTTGCCTGCTGACCCTTGTCACATACTCACAGGGGTTTCAATAGAAAAGTGAAAACATTTTTTGAGGAAACTGAGCCAGGATTGGTGGCTCGTGGCATAATCCAGCATTCAAGAGGCTAAAGCAGAAGGATTGCTTGAAAATTTCAAGCCAGGATTTTCTATTAGTGAACTTAAGGGAAGCCTGGGTCATACGGAACTTACCTTAAAACAAGAGGTGATTGAAGCTTTACATGGCTATACTAGTTAGCAGAGCTAGGTCACACTTCCTCTCAGTTGTGAAGAGTCGAGATTTCTTTCTCCGTGTTTTATTTGGTTTGCAATTGAGACTAGCTCATTCTATAGTCTGGGCTAGCCTTCAACTGTGGTCGCCAGTGTTGGGTTTAAAGCGCGAACAACCCCACCCCCATCAGTAAAGACTTGTAGTTACTGCCCTTAGCATTCTCTAGGAAGGCCCGGCCCGCTGTGGCACCCAAGACCGCGACTGCTGGTGTCAGCCATCCTTGCCCGGCCCGCTGTGGTACCCAAGCCCCGACTGCTGGTGTCAGCCATCCTTGCCTGGCCCGCTGTGGTACCCAAGCCCCGACTGCTGGTGTCAGCCATCCTTGCCTGGCGTGGCCCGCACGGGGCTGCTGCTGCTGCTGCTGCTCCTGTCGGCAGCCGCGCCCTCTGTGCTGGGACGGAACGCGGAGGCCAAGGGCTGTGTGCGCGGGGTCATCCTCCCCGGGGTCGTCCCGCGTGGGGAACTCGAGGTTGACAAGACCTCCCGCCTCAGCATCCCTCAGTCCTTCCTGACAGAGGGCTTCGAGCACTCACAGGCCCCAAGGCCGCGCCTCCGGCAAAGGGCGGGAAAACAGGCGCAGGCGCAGTGCGCTCACAGCGCAGGAAACGCACAGCGCAGGCGCAGAGTGGACCGTTTACCTTTGCCTTGCTGATGTAGGAAAGCACTGTTCTGTTCTCTTGCCCCCACCCCGCACTTTATTCAAAGCACAGGTAAGCCAGCAATTGAAGGCCCAGCGATGGCCAGCTTGGCTGTCAATTGTCACAACAGGCTTTTAATTTTCACATTAGCCAAGCACTTGGAGTGAACACGTGATCCAATTCTATCCCCCAATACACATACCCCTGTGCCTACAATGAGGGTGTGTGTACACACGGCGACACACATGACAAAGCCAGCAGTTACCAATCCAATTGTCTGACTTCCAGTGTTACAGTTTCATTGTAGGGAAAAAAGAAAATCGACTATCTTACACTTAAACCTTTGGAAAACACTTTACAGCCCTTAAATATAGTTTAACTCCCAGGAGAATTTAGGACGAATGTTCTCTAGTTAATTGAAGAACATGCAGTGCAAAGGTTTTTGAATGCCTAGAGCAGAAATGCCCGTTAGAGTAGGTGTGGCCTTGAGGTTTCTAAGTTAGCAACCTGTCTGCCTGCAGGCCACCATCCTAATGGACTAAACCTCTGAAACCAAGCACCAATTAAATACTTTCAAGACAGGGTTTCTCGGTAGCTTCCAAGTGTGTAATGGAACTTGCTCTGTAGACCAGGCTGCTGGAAATAAAGGTGTGCACCTCCACTGAGTTTTTTTCCCTCACTGCAATATAAACGGGACATGTAGACTCAACTCTTATGTAAACACATGAACACTGAACTATCTAACCTGTAAAGAGCAGGTGTGTGCATTTGACAGATTGCTTGCTTGGAATGCAGGTGGATGCCCAGAATCCTAGCACTCAGTGTGAAATGACTGTTGTCTAGTGCCAAGTGGGACTAAGGGCAGAGGGGAGGGCGATGGCACTATTTCCCTTCCTTTGGCATTTATCTGACCCAATCCACCTAATCATATTCAACCTCAATATAATCTCAAATGTC